TGCAAAATAGGGGCAATGGCCTCTTGGGTGTCTCCAGAGACCTCAAGTCACTCCATTCACAGGGGCTGCTTGGCGTGGAAGTGGCTAATGCTGAGACTGGTCCAGCCTTGACAGCCCCGGTGGCCAGGCTGGGAGCTGCCTTGTCCCCCGGCTGGGCCTTCGCTCTCCAGTGCGGCAGGGTGTGTCGGGCAGTGCTGGCCTGCGGCACCTCTCCTCCTCCAGCTGGCCAAAGGCCCAGGGCCGGGGCCTCCATGCCAGGCATCGGCCGCCGCGAGCCTGCTGGGCACGTGGAAATAGCCCCCGTGCATGCACTGGTATTGGGTCACTTACTTGGTGGGGGGAAGGAAAAAACCGTGTGGGAGGGTGTGATGTCAGGGGACAGTTTCCTCTTTGGGAAGACGACCTGTGGAGCTCCTCACACTCAGCCGGAAGGACTGGAAAGCGGTCTTTCTGTGAGAAACCAGCCCAGAGTCTGGTGTCCAGCCAAGGCCATGCCACCAAGGACGACAGTGTGGTTCTCCCGATGGCTTGGCTGAGCCTGTTACCCTGGGAGGCACATCAACCTTCCCCCCGAAACTACCCCCAACAAGGGACAGTGACGCACCTGCCTCAGTGGAGGGGCAGAGAACGTGGCTGGGCTCACAGCCGGTGGTCCCCAGATGAACCCTGAGCGCATGCATGCACATTCATGTGCAGAGAAGGGCAGGGACACACGCTCTCTGCACCACAGGGGTCAGGAGTGAAGGGACCAATACTTGTGCCCACACAGAATCATGGTGCACCTCTGGAAGACCCTCAACACACATAGACCCTCACAGATGTACTCCCCAAGCCGGGTCCTTGGCCTGAGCCTTTTTGGTGTCTTGGGTCATCTGGCACTGGGAGTTGCCGTCGGCTTCCACAAGGTATGGCATTTAGCAGGACACAAAGGAGGGACATGGCTTTCCCCTAGAAGAAGTTTCCAGAAACTGGAAGGCATGGGCCAGACAATAGTCTTAGAAAGGCCACTAGGGAAACCTCAGAGCCCTACCCAGTGGAAGCTGATCTCTTCTGAGGAGTGTCTGGAGGAAACCCAAGTCCCCATGACCCCTAGGCTCACACCCTACAGTGGTAAGAGCCTTGTCAAAGACCAGGTCAGGGAGGAGCAAGTCAGGGGGCTTTGCAAAGGCGGCCACAGTTCCCGTAAGTGGGAAAGGTGTTTGCTCCAGAGTCATTCCAGAGAGGTTGTGCAGTGCAAGAGACAGGGCGTGATCTGGGTTCAACAGCCCCGGCTCTGCCTCCTACCAGCTGTGTGACCCTGGGCCAGCCCCTGACCCTGTCTGAGCCCCAGTCCCCATGTCTGTCCTTTGGAGGCCCTCTCTCCTCCGCTGCCTAGGGATGGTTAGCACTAACAACAGTGGGAGCCGCATAAGCCAGGCTCTGTTCTAAGGAGTTTACATCCGTTAATGTATTTGATTTCCTCAATCACTTGAACAGATAGATCTTACTCTTAGCCCCATTTCCCTGCATGGTTAAAGGTTGCTCAGCCCACGTAGGCTTAGGCCTTAACCCCCAGGCTCCGCCTGATCCAGTCTTTGGAAGCCTGGGCATGCACAGTTCAGAAACCCAGGCTGGAAGCCACACTGGGCATCCACAGTGCCTTGGAAATGCAGGGCCATCACTCCCTGCAAAGAAAGGCCCTCTGTGAGGTGGCACTCGGTGTGGCCTGTGGCTCTGGGTCTCACATTCCATAGATTTTTGGCCCCTGACTTGGGCTTGGCAGCCTGTTCCTCATTGTTCTGCAGTTTGGCAGGGACCCCGGGGACAGGCAGCTCCCTGTGTTACCCGGGGTGCTGGCATGTGCTGCGCGCCTTCACCCTGCTCTCCCGGTCCTCCCTCTGGGTCCCTTTGTCTTGGTCTTTCTGCGTCTGAGCCCCTTAAGAAACAGTTTCTAGCAGGAAATTTCTGGGGTCAGGTTTCTACTGAGGTACAGACAAAGAGAAAGAAAATCCTTTGAAATACAATAGCCCTGGAGACTCGGGGACCCAGGAGTGGCTTGGCAGGCAGTGAGAGCTGGGTTTGAGTCTCCCCTCTGCAGCTCACTGGAGACACGACCTTGAACCTCCCCTCTGAGCCTGACTCCTCCCCTGGAGGATGGGTCTCCCCGCAGCCCCAGCCCGAATGGGAAAGACCCCGCCCACTGGAAGTTCAGAGAGCCTTCACCGCCTTCCCTCTCCTCCCTCCCAGCCTCCTGTCCCTTTGTGGTGGCCCTCTCTGGCACTTGGTGGGAGGGGCATGACATGCAGGGTCCTCTTTGGCTGCTGCTTTTCTGGAACAAAGTCCCCCATCCTCCTCAGTGGGGAGCATGGTGCAGAACCTTTCATTAGGTTCTGGACGGACAGCTCTTAGGAACAGTAATTTGCCAAAGCCCCAGAGGGGTTTGGCAGAGAAGGTGCTACATCAGTTTGGTGCCATCCCAAAGGACAAAAACCATGGGGACTCATTTGGGGGGAAAAATGGCCCTTTGTGGCCCACTCAACCTAGGCCCCATTCTTGTGTGGAGGGGTTTGCTCCCTCCACACAAAGATGATGTTGGGAGGGGCTGTGAGGAGCACACCATGGAGGTTTGGGGCAAAGATGCCATTGTGGGTTCGAACCCTGGCTCCTCGCTCTGTGATCCGTGTGATCTGGGCAAACTGCTTTAGCCTCCGTGTGCCTCAGTGTTCTCATCCATGAAATGGAACAGTAGGAGACCCTATTCCATGGCACTGTGAAAGTGAGATGGGCTGATAGAGCTGAAGTGCATGGGGCAGGCCCAGCACTGTGAGTACACACGGTTGTTGGCTTATCATTACTGTTATTTCTGATGAGGCTGGAGGGGGCTCACGATGCTCCTGTGTGGGGAGGAGGGTGAGCCCCTGAGAAGCCCCTGAGGGGAGACCCCGGCCTCTGAGCTCAGATGCGGGAGTGCCACGTGGGGACATGGAGAATGACCTTTGCAAATACCGCCTAGGTTCCTGACCAATGTTTCTTGCCCAAGGTCCCAGCTGCGGAGTGACTGGGTCAATACAGGAACCCAGGACAGCTGGCCACGGAGGCTGTGTGAGGCGGGGCGAGGGGAGGGAAGCCGGCACTTCCCCTTAGTTCCTGGTCCACAGGGAGCCTGTGAGCAGGTGGGCAGGTGAGCCATGCACCCTGGCCGTGCCGTGCCTTCTGAGATAAAGACAGCACCTTCCAGCCGAAGACAGTTCTCCCACCTCTCCCAGAGGTCCCCCTAAGGGCAGAGGATGGTGAACATGTCACCCCGAGGGGTCTGGGGGTGCAGCCTGAAGCAGCTGCAGAGCCTGCAGGAAGTCTCTGGTTTCATCTTAAAATTCATGCGCATTTTACATTCTGTTCCCTCTGTATCCGGTTTATTGTCTGTCGCACACATCTCCCCCCTGAGTAACAGCCGCTCCTGCTGCCTCAGGAAGCTGCTCCTTCTCGTGTTTATCTGTTTATCCTGGGGCTTTTCGTACCCAGGTCCTTGCTGTGTCACCTGGGGGGATGTGCTCCACCGAGGGAGCTCAGGCGCAGATGGTGGGCAGATGCTGCGGGGGCTGCGGTCCCACCTGCATCTCAGGAAGTGGCCTCGGCTGCCCATGCGCAGGAGGAGGACTTGGCGGGGAGGGCCGGCGGCCCTGCTGTCCAGGGAGAGGAAGGGGTGTCGGGGCACAGAGGCCTCAGAAGGACAGGCATAGTGTCACAGTGCCCTCAACGTGACACTGATTTGAGATTAATAGAAAAAAAGAAGAGACAGCAGAGCTCAGGGACACCGGTTTCTTTTATCTGCGTATGTTAGGGTGAGCCACATTAAAAAAATGCTGTGTGCGGGGTCAAAGCTGGTTGAGTGTGGGCGCCTTCTTCACAGATAGGAGGCCGCCTGGGCCGGGCACGGCGCTCTGTACCGCCCGCTCCACGTGGCCGCGCCTCCTGCCTCTGCTTTGCCTGCTGGAGAGCAGCTCTACCCCGAAACTCCGAGGACGGGCGTGCAAGGGGGGAGCTGGGCCTGCCTGAGGCACAGGATGGGCGGCGCTGGACACGGAGGTGCCGCAGAAACGCCGGAGGGTGATGAAGGCCTGTCCTCCTGAGGAGGAGGCCGTGCCCCTTGCCTCCGAGAGGGCCATGTGGCTGCTCCTGTGTGCGAGAGCCTTCGTCCCTGCCCCAGGCGTGCTTGCCTGCTGGGGGCCCGGCCGAGGCCGCCCAGGATACCAGGAGTGGAAGTAGGAGTGATACTCAGGTGACCTTGAGCTCAGGCCTGGGCACATGGTGACCTTAATCAGAGACAGCTGTTGCAGTTACTGTGGCAACCGGTGACGAGCATCCTGACTCTCCAGGAACCTCTGATGTAACAGCTCAAGCGATGGAGGCTGAGGGGGTTGCCTCCTCGTGCCCAGAGGCTCATGCAGGACTGTGAGCGGGACCCATCGCCTTGGTCTTGCGGCGCTGGGTGCACAGCCCAACGAGGATGGGGACGTGGGCTCCTTCCCACAGCTGCTGCTTGCAGTCTGACTCAAGGTCTCCCTCTCCTGACCACGCAGGCTGCTAACCTGGGTTTATGTGTGGGTGATGTTGGGGAACAGGGCTGTAGAACTGCTCGCCCCAAGAGGCATGGAGGACAGTGGTACAGAAAGAACAAGTCTTCGGAGCCTGGTGCAAGTGGAGTTGAATCTGGTGCCTCGTTTGCTGGCAGGGCGCTGCCATTAGACTTTTCCCTGCACAGACCTCAGTTTCTCCCTCTATCCAATAGGGATCATCCTCGCAACTCACCATAATCGAGGGAAAGTGTGTCATGCAGGATGTTGAGGCCTCGCCCTGCCACTTCTGGGCAGGGTGACTATGGGCAAGGTAGCTAACTACTCTGCACTGCAACTCACACATCTGTAGAATGGGGCACCTGGAAGTACTTCCTCCACTGGAGGGCCGGTGGGAGGCGGCATGAACAGGCAAGTGTATAAGAAAGCCCTCGCTTTCTCTTGCAGCCCGTGCCCTTGTGAGGCTGGCATGCAGGATGGCAGGACAGCCCAGCCCCATGTCCCACGGAGGGAGCCCGAACAACCCCTGCCACACCCTGGGGCCCGCACATCCTCCTGACCCACAGGTAAGCCCTTTTCCGCTGTCTGCAGCGCCTTAGAGCCCCCAAGGAACACGGATCCCTGAGATGGTGCTGTGTCGGCCAGTGGGGGCTGCCCCGGGACAGAGCCTCTCGCCTGCTTCCAGGGATGGGAGCAGAGCCCAGCACCTAACCCGGTCAGCCCTTCATGTCCCTCGGCACTGCTGGGAGAAGCCTGTCTGTGCTGGACTCCGGGTGGGATGCCAGGCCCTGGTCCTGCGCCTGGGTGTTTCCATGGGAACCAACAACTTCATCTCAGAGGAGTCAGCGCTGCTGAGAAGGATGGACACAGAGGGAGTTGTGGAGGCCTTGAGAAGAAAGGAGGGTGTAGGGTGAACTTGGAGTCAGAAAGAACTTCCTTACTCTGGGCCGAAGCGCCTCCCTTCTGGTCAGAGCTGTGTGCTGGCCCTCTTTGGCCTCTTTATCCAGAACCAGCAGAGCTCAGGGACATCAGTTTCCTCCCACCTGCCTCACCCTCTCTGTAGACCTTGGAGAGCCAGGCAGACTTTTGCAGCTTTTCTGAAGGTGGCTTTTGGGGTTCTGAGCTGCTTGCACACCCCTTGCTGTTCCCTGGGCCTGGAGCGCCCTCCCAGCTCCACCTGCAAGCCTCAGTCCAAATGCCGCTGCTTCCGGGGAGCCTTCCTGCTCCACCCTGAGCCCTCCGCTGTGCTGCCTCCCCAGCTGTGCACAGGCACTAGGTCACAGCTGGGGTCACATCCCACCTGCAGACTGGTTTTTCGGTTTCCTTCCCTCCCTAGACAGAGGGTCCTCTGGAGTGGGGCTTCGCTGGTCGCGTCATCCCGGGCCCAGCAGCAAGGAGCCCCTCATGCCTCCTGAGTTCATGCTCTGCAGATACGTGTAGTGCATGCACCCAGGATGTAACTGTGTGTGACGCAGACCAATGTCTGCTCTGAGCAAGCACGCAGTGCCGGGGCGGGGGTGGGGGAAGGGGCAAGGAAGGAGCAACGGACAGGAAAGAATGCTGGAGAAACTTGGGAGCCAGTGAAGCTCCAACAAGGCGCCTGATCTGAAGCCAGAAGGCTTCCTGGAGGAAGTGGCATGCAAAGGCGTGGAGGGCACAGGGGCTCTGGTGTCCTGTGGGCAGCCTGGACTGATGAAGAGTAACTGTCCAGGGTTGGGTTTTGTCCCAGGGCTGTGAGACCTAAATCAGGGGGAGACAGAGACAGCCTGCGCCCTGAGCCACTGAGGGGTTGTCACAGCGTCTAACTGCCTCGTTCCTGTTGGAGGACTGCGGAGGGACTGGTGTTTGCACAGGTAGACAGGTTACATGCTGCAAAGAGGTGCTGGCCAAGGAGGCAGGTGAGTCTGAAACCCTCCTCCTGCCCCTGAGTTCTACTCAAGCCGGGCTCCCGGGTGTGGGCTGCGCCAGCCCCAGGGAAGGAACACCTCTATGATAGAGTCACACAGAGGCGACACGTTGATTAGGAGCAACTGGGGAGGCAGATCCCAGAAAGCTGGGCAGCCCGTGGACTCCACCGGTCCAGAGTCCACCTCAGTGATGGCTGGGGGCAGCGGGGCCTCTTCGGGTAATGTAGCAATTTGTCATATTAAGTCCTTCACTAACAATCGAGTCCCCCTTGATTAATCTCCCAGAATTAGCCAGTTGCATTTTGAGCAATTAGGGTTAATTACAGCCTCATTTGGCAGAGGAGAGAGCCCCATAATTATTTCACGAACAAGGAGAGGACGCACGGGGCTGCTGCGGCGGCAACGTCCGCAGTGTCTCGCTGCACATGTTGGAGTGGTAATGACATAGTTGTGTGTAATTAGATACGGTTACTCAGCGCTGGCTAGGGGCTGGGCTGTCCGTGAAGATGCCCCAGTCCCGCCAGCATCTGGCCGGGTTTGCAGAACCAGGCACAGTGGCGTTGATGCTGGGACTGCGGCAGGTTGCGTTGGGCGGAGGAGAGTCAGGCGCTCTCTCCTCATCTGGTATTTAAACGCCACCTGGGGAGGTATCAGGGCCCAAATTTTGCCTGTTTCAGGACATAGGAACACCTGGAATTGACGGCAGAGGCGTTTTCCTCTATGGCAGGAGGCGTTGCTGTTTCCCTGAAACCATTCTTAGTGGAAGGAGCCAGGCTCCACAACAGAAAGAATGCTGTGTGCTGGACCAGGCTGGGTTCAGTTCCCCACTTCCCCCCAACCAGTCAGGTAATGTAGGGCAGATGAACTCTCTGAGCCTCAGTTTCCTCATCTGTACAGTGGGGCCATGAAGACTATGTGAGATGGTCTGCTTTAAACACCAGCACGGCACCCAACATCCTGAAAATGATATACCATGGATCTGATTTTTTTCCCTTAAGATTTTATTTATTTATTTTTAGAGAGAGGGGAAGGGAGGGAGAAAAAGAGGGAGAGACGCATTGATCGGTTGCCTCTCGCATGTCCCCTGCCAGGGACACGGCCTGCAGCCCCGGCGTGTGCCCTGACTGGGAATCAAACCAGCAACCCCTGGTCTGCAGGCCAGCACTCAATCCACCAAGCCACACCAGCCAGGGCTGATCTTATTCTTATACTGTAAACTTTATTTTAGTTTTCACAGCTAAAGAGCCCAGAGCTGGAAATACAGTGTAGAAAGTAATTTAGCAAAGATTCAGACTCTGGTTTTTGTGAACTTTCTATGCCCAAGGCACATGATTTGCTCATTTCAAGGAACTTTATAACATATGAAATATGTTTGCTGAGCCCGACAGAATCTTATGTGAAATTCATATATACTTGGGAAAGCTGAACATGCCTGCTTTTATTGAGGTTTTGAATGAATGAATGAATGAAGTTGAGGAAAGGAGTTTAAAATGACCTATGCTTTATGATTTTATCAATTTGCTACAGAGCCTTTTTCACCAAGAATCAGAGGCAAGGCTCAGCTGACCCACTAAAAACCACATGAATTTCCAAGAAGAAGAAAGGTGTTCTTGTCTGAGAAAGACTTGGCTAATGTGTCTGCCATCTGGAAAGTCCTTGCAGACCTGCTTGGGACGTGCCAAGTTCTGTTGCATTCGGCACTCTTCAGAGGGAGAGGAATGTGCCTGACTTCGCAGGAGACAAGGACAGCTGTCACTCAGATGGCATTACACAGGCCCAATGCTTTATGAAAGTCCTCCTAAACCAACGATGGGAGTTAGATAAGATTTAGTGACCAAATATTGACGGCCGTTAAAATTCAAGAAGTGTTTGCTTCGCTGTAAATTCAGCGAGAGCTTGTCTCATTTTTGCCTTAGATCTGCACGTTCCAGGAAAGGGAAAGAGCCAGACATGAAGGTGCAGGACCCGTTGGGTTAGATTAAGTGTTTAAATACTGGTGCTTAGATAAGGTCGAATGACCGGTGTTTGTGAAAGGCCTGGGATCTATGCTGTGTCATTTGGAATTCACTCTGTAGCAGATGGGGAGCCCATTAGGGGTTTGGAGTAGACGGGGTTTGGGTTTCAGATCACTGGAAGCTGAGCCTCGAGCACAGGAAAAGTGGAAATAAGAGGCGAGGAGGCCTCTGCCCTCACCCAGGAGAGGGGAGGCCTTAGCCTTAAACAGGCGGGCACCAGAGGGGAGATTTCACAGTCTCCCAAGGGAAAAAAACAAACTGCTTTTGGTACCTGCAGGTGAGGGAGAGGGCACTTCAGGATGTGCCCAGCCTTCTGGGTGGTGGCTGACGCTCTGCATGGCATCACCCTTCCAGGCTTTGCTAGTCCATCAGCTGGAGCTGGTTCCACGTTCTCTCATCCGTATGTTTAATTAAGCTCAGCTCTCCCTGGGCTCGGTTAATAAGACTCGGCCTGGGGAGCCACTGCAACTGAGATGACCTTAGGTTTTGTTATCAAGCATCTTCTTTGCCTTGAGCATCTTGCTCTGTCCTGGGACCGTGTGGAGATGTCCAGGTTGAGGCAGTCGTGGGGGTGGTCGCACCAACCATGTGACGCCTGGCCCTTACCTCGTTCCGTCCTTCTGCCAACTCGGACAAGGAGGGCTTATTCAGAGCTCCATTTTGCAGCCCGTTTGCTATGAAGGAGGAAGGCCAGGAGTCCCTGCAGTCGTGTGGCCCCATCTGTGCCTTCTTGAGTTTGAAATTAGCCAGCTCGTGAAGAGCTGAGTGGTGTTGGCCTGGGAAAGGGCCCGACGATACGGACCCTTTGTAGATCGTGCCCTTCTGTGCAGTGCGGATTTAAAACACGTCGCCATACACGCATATACTGGATCCATTAGAAGTTCCCTGCACACGATGTCAGATGTCTGTAAAGGTGAACTTCGTTTACGGGAAATGTCACTCTGATGAAGTGCGCTTTTTAAAATCATAGAAACGGTCGCCTTAAAATTAATGATGCATTGCAAATATCAGGGAAAAAAGACCCATCCAGTGTAAAGATGATTAAAATTCAGGTCAGAAGCCTGACTTAGTCAGGCTAAATTTTTTAATGAGATTTCAGAAAATTAATTGGGCGAATGCATTTTTATTCTTTTAACATGTAATTTTGTGCTCCTGTTTAAAAAAAAAAATTGTCTATGGCCAAGGCTTATTGTGGTAGAAACATTTTAAGCTCAAATTAGCACAGGGTTGTCGGGGGGAGGGGCATTGGTGGCCTAATTTGATCTGACTTGGAGAAGAAAGCTGTGTTTCTCTGAGCTTTCTGGGATGGGGTGTTCAAGATACCCCCTTCCCTGTACGTCTGGCCATGGCCTGAGAAGGCTGGCGGCATTTCTTGGGAGGGTGGAGCTGGGGATAGAGGTGGCTCAGGGACCTGAGCTGTCTCCTTGGCTCCTGGGTCTGCCCCGTCCCTCCAGAGTGTTTCCCCATCTGTATGAGGTGAGTGACCTCCCGAGCAGGGCAGGCCTCCCGCCTCCGGTGCCCTGCACCTGGCAGCAGAGCCTCCCCTCCACCCTCTGCCTTCGGGGGGCACTAAAGGGCTCCTCCCCGGGGGTGGGGGCAAGAGGGATGAGAAGTCAGAAATGGCCTCTTGTGCCCACGGCACAGCGAGGCAGGGGGAGCACAGTCCCTTGGCAGACAGTCCCAGACGACCTGCACAGGGGGCCGTGAAGGCAGAAGGCTGCAGGGGCACGTCAGCCTCGCTGCTTTACTGTAGCCAGGGGGCGTTGGGTCGATGAGCTCTCTGAGCCTCAGTTTCCTCGTCTGCACAATGGGGCCATGACGACCATGTGAGATGGTCTACTTCAAACACCCAGCACAGCATCCGACATCCTGGAAATGATATGCCATAGATCTGATTCTTAGATTGTAAATTTCATTTTAATGTTCACTGTTAAAGGGCCCAGTGCTGGAAGTCCCCTCAGTGCAGATCCTCAGTGGGGACGGGGACGACGGTGATGCTGATAACAACAGTGAGGACGCCCTGCACTTGTGTCCTGGGCTGGGCGCCCCCCAGGCCGGGCGCTGCACATGCCCTGCCTTGGTTCATCCCAGCCTCCCGGGAAGCAAGGGCCGCTGTTCTGCAGGTTTCCTGTGATGCCAAGACCTATAATAGTAATAACGTGCAGCATTTCCTCGGTGCCAAGTGCTTTTATTTATTAACTTATTTAATCCCCTGGCAACCCCCTGAATGGGGTACTATCATTATCTCAGTTGTACAGACAAGGGGACTGAGGCCCAGAAGGGCTTGCCTAAGGCCCACAGGCAGGAAGTGGCAGAACTTGGACTTGAACCAAAGCTCTGGGCCCGTGAGAGTGTCTCAACCTCTCTGCCAACCTGTGCCCTTGGAGTTGTGTTTATTTTCCCCGGGAGTGAGCACAGGGCCCCAGACCTAACAGGAGATATTAAGCCTTGGATGAACAGCCTTTAGAAAGGCCATCAGGGTGACCACTGTGAGCCACTGTGGTGGGAGCTGCCTGGGGCCAGCCCCGTGTATAGAGCTCCCGGGACCCCTTTCGCCAGTGTCCTCTTCTGGGGCTCCCAGGAGTCCTGAGGCTGGCGTTCTACGTCCAGGGTATGGATGGCCTCACTTGGCTGCGGGGGCAAGAGTGGAACGTGCAAGAGCTGACCCGTTACGATGGAAGGCCTTGGAGGTGGCAGCCGAGAGAGGCCTGGCCTTCTGGGGCCAGAACTCGGTTCACCTCCTTTTCCGCTCACAGCCCCTGAGTGAAACCGGGGTCAGGGCTCTGCTGGCGCTGGCGGCACCCACGAATCCTGTGTCTGGCAGTGCCCCCGCCTGAGCAGAGGCCACCCTGGAGGGCCCCATCCCAACCCCTTCCTGGGGCCCTCACAGGGTGCTGCTGCCTGATAACCTGCCCCACCACGGGAGCTCATTCCTCTAATTAGGTCGAATGGGTTGTGACAGGAAATGCAAATCTGGGTCATCGCATATGCAGATGTGCAGCTGGAGTGTCAGTGATGCCGGCTGGGACACCTCCCAGGTCCTCTGGGAGCTTCCGAGAGGCCACGGAGCAGGGGCAGCCTGGCCTCCAGGGCACATCCCTGGGCTGGGTGGGGAGTGCTGGGCACTCCAGCCACTCGTTCTGGGGAGAAGCGGCCCAGTGTTCCCAGAGCAAGGTCCCTAGGAGATCACATCCTTCAAACACGTGAAGCCGCGGGGGGGACTGAGGCCCAGAGATGAGAGGGGCCCTGCCCTATGTCACCCAGCAGTGCAGCTGGCTCTAGATGGGCAGCGCGTTCAAGTCCCAGCTCCCCACTGACTAGCTGTGTGACCGTGCCTCATTTTTCATATTTATAAAACAGGGTTAATAAGCCTTGCTTTACAAGGCTGTTAGAAGATTTAAGCCATAATATCTGTCTAAGCAGCCAGTACAGTAACTGACACATAGTAGGTCCCATTACACGACAGCGTGCCATTATTTCCATGCGTATGTGCGATTTCTTCCAGGTGCTGAGAAAGTGGCCTTTTTCTGAGGGGGTGTGATTTCAGCTGCACTCCTAGAAATGAGCAGGTCACAAAGTCCCACCGTGCACCAGGCTGTTTTGAGCACATTCCGTTGTGTCATTTGACAAACATGCCCCAGCACTTGCTCCGAGGAGGTCAAGGCCTTAGCTCCGGGCACGTGGAGGGGACTCAGACAGGAGCCCACTTTTGGGAAGGCCCATGGTGGGGGGTGGGCAGTGGGAGGCAGACAGAACTAGCAAATAAGCCAGTGAACTAATAAAGGGGGCGGACGTATGAGCTGTGGAGGAAGCCAGCAGCCTCGGGTTCTATCTGCAGACTGGGGTCACTGTGGGGGTTACAAGGGGTGGGCGTGGAAAGCACAGGCGTGAGGAGGGCTGAAGGAGGCTCGGACAATGGGACTGGCGGTCAGAGTCTCTCCTTCATCTTAGAGGGGTGCTGGGAAAGGCCAGCAGCCTCCACTTTGGCCTGGCTGGACACCGATGCCCTCTGTCTGTCCCCTCCAGAAGCACCTGAACGCCCTGTCTTTTCGCTGCTCACTGGCAGACTTCCAGATCGAGAAGAAGATCGGCCGAGGGCAGTTCAGCGAGGTGTACAAGGCCACCTGCCTGCTGGACAGGAAGACGGTGGCTCTGAAGAAGGTGCAGGTGAGCCGGCGACCCCATGGGGTCAAAGCTGCATTGCAGGAGCTGATTACTGTGTCTGAACATTGTGGTGCTGGGCTAGTCCCTCCTTCCGCTCCTCTCCCCTCCCCTCCCTTTCCTGCCCCTCCTCTGTAAATGAGGGAAACTGGTACCCAGCTCACTGGGCTACGGAGACAATCGGGGGACTCCTGAAAGCTCGATGTGAGCCGTAAAGGGGAAAAAAAAGTGTGCGCTGAACACCTGCCATGTACTGGGTCCTGCTGGGAGCTCATGGGGCGTGACAGCAGCCTCTGTGGGTGGGGATTAGCATCCCATTTTTCAGATGAGGAAACAGTGCAGAGCTGCAGATAACTCACCAGGGCCACAGAAGGAGCGAAGTCCCACTGACACTGTTGCCTGCACTCGCTGGTCGGTCCTGGGCTTGAGTGTCCTCGCTGACCTCCGTGCCCCTCCTAAGGGGCAGAAGGGAGTCCAGCAGACAGTTTTAAGCAGCATTTCAGTGAGAGCCACTGGGCCCATTTGAGCACTGCTTTGCTGCAGGAAATGGTTTTAAATCCTTCAGCGGAGCTTCCCAAATCCCTCTATGAGATCAGCAGCCTGGGCCGAAGGGGCCCAGGAGAGAAAAGGCAACTCCAATGCAGTCACATGCAAAGAACTGCAGTGGGAAGATCTTAGCATCACTGTTTTCTTGTTGATCTGTGACTCGACACAGCTCCAGGTCGCTGGAGGACAGATGGGCCCCTCTGTTTAAAGAAGGCCCACCTTCTGCCCTTTGTCTTCTAAGGAGGGGCTCTCCCGGCTTGCTCTCTGTCTTGGTTTATTTGTGCCGTACCCGGGTTTGCTGTGAGGCTGCTGGCCTGTTGACCATCTGTTTGTCCTCTAAGTCAGAAGGTGCCTTGAGGACCCAGCCAGAGTGAGCACTGGTGGGCGGGGGGCAGGGCGTCGGGGAGCTGTGCCCTGTATTCTCACCCTGTCCAACTTGGGCTATCGGCCTCATGTGTGGAAGCGAAGGCTGAGGCTCTGAGTGTGTTTCCTAGCCCGCCCCTTATCAGTGTGTGACCTCAGCAAGTCACTGGACTTCTCTGTAAGTCGGTGACAGTAATTCCTGCCTGGCGGGCGTCTCCGTGAGGATTCAGCTTACGGTGGTCAGCATGGCGCCTGGCATGTGGTGGGGGCCCTCTAAGCAGAACTGTTGTCCTTGCAGGGTAGGGGCCTTTGACAAGGAGGCAGATCAACCAGGGCTCTGGGTGCTGGGTTTTAAAGCATCCTATTTCTCTTTCTCCTCTTGCCCAAGATATTTGAGATGATGGACGCCAAGGCCAGGCAGGACTGCGTCAAGGAGATCGGCCTCCTGAAGGTTAGTGCCCTGCGCGGGACGACCCTCTCTGTGGACCGGGGCTAGCTGGCCCCTATGCATAAGGGACAGACATGCCGGGGTCCGTCCAGGGTGGGGCATGCAGGGTGGGAGCGCGGTGGTGTCTGTGGTCCCTCCCCGCCTCCCCGCTGGCTTCCCTACGGTCAGAGATTATGGGACATGGGGGCCTAGACTTGGCTCTGGCCTGGGGCCACTCTTTCCCAAGGATCCCTCCCTACTCTCCAGGCCTAGAGTTCTGCTGTAACCTCAGAAGGGATGGAGGAGGAGAAAAGGTATGGGCTTCGGAGGCCCAGGAACCTAGGTTCAAATCCCGATGTCTTCATGTATGAGCTGTGTGACTTTAAGCAAAGAAGTAACCTCCCTGAGCCTCAGTTGGCCCATTCGCTCAGTGGGGAGGACACCCACCTCACAGGATGTAGGCAGATCGAGAGGATTCAATAAAATAGGATTTGAGAGGGCCTGGGGCAGTAGAGCGCGCAGTGGATGCTTTGTCCGTGTCTTCCTTCCTTCCCACGAGACAGGAGAGCGTGCTTGGTAGCTTCTTAAAGTGGGGCTGTCGGTGGTGGTAACACCCTTCAAAGCCACAGCTGACAGCTGTGGAGTTTTGGATGAGTAGGTCACCTTCTGGGCCCTGCCCTGGGCTCTCAGGCCTGGCCCTGTCCCTGGGGGCTCCTAGGCAGGCAGCAGGAGGTGACCCTTTGGGACCTGGGCAGCTGAGGCAAATGAGCCCGCTGCAGGAACCTCGACAACATGGATCGAGGGGCCCGATCGTGGTGGCCTCAGATGCCACGCACAGGACTTAAATGTGGTAATGATGGGTCACAGTGACAAAGTTGGGGTGGAGAGGCTTGTAGGCAGCTGTCCTTACCTCTCACTATTGCAGGTCACAAATGCCCTCCAAATAACACTTTAAAATATTATGTAATGGCCCGCTTTGGCACCCTGTTGTGATCTGGGGACTCTGCCTGACTACCCAGCCCTGGGGAATAGCTGTCCCATCACCCACCCCCTCGCCCCACTCTTGGCCAAGAACACACATGTGCCATCCCCATGGAGTGTAAGGAATTGTACACGCAGGTGGACTGAGCTGGTGTGTTGCGGGTCCCTGGGTGCAGAACTGTGTGAGCGCAGCCCCTTCAGTGCAGCCAGTCCAGTGTGGTGCTGACAGGGCCGGCCAAGGAGCAAGCTCCATCCCTTCCCCGGGCGGTGCAGCTGAGTGAGTGCCAAGCACCACAGGCTTCAGAGGCGGGCACGCCCCTCGCCCACCAGCTCATCTGTACCATGGGCTGATGAGGATGGTGCCGTCTTCAGAGGTGTTGGGAAATTGGTGAGGCAACGCCTGGGGGAGCTCAGCACGGCGCCGATGTGTGCGAGGTGCTCAGCCAGGAACAGCCCTCGCGGTCATGGCAGGGCAACGCCAGCACCTTCCAGAACGCTGCTGCAGCTCCCTGGCCTGCCCGTGGGAAGTCAACAGGATGTGCCAGGGCAGGAGGTGTTTCCTACAAAACAAAGGGAAACGCAGTTCTCGGACGGGCCGCTGGGCAACATTGTTCATATCGTTGATGCCAGGACCCGAAAGCCAAAACCTCCAGTGCAGAGGCTGCCAGACATGGGGCAGGAAGGTGGGCTGCGTTGGGACACAGGAATGGATTCGTGCATTCACGGATTCCGCATGGTTTCTGAGCCTCACTGAGTGCTAGACACGCGGGTGCAGCCCCGCAGGGAAGGCAGATCCGAAAGGCCCCCGAGCGCAGGGATTTAAAGAAGGGGGAACCTTACATGGATGAGCTCTATACTCTCAGCCCTGCCCTCTGGCCTCCCCTTGGGTCGTCGTCCATCCCTCAGCAGCCACCACCGCAGCCAGGCCTGGCCTGGGGCCTCAGGGACATCCCCACCCCCTGAAGGGTCATGGGTGGTGGTGAGGAGGAGGAGGAAGAGGAAGAGAAGGATCATTTCCACAAGCATTATTGAATCTTAGCTCCATGCAGCCTCTCTGTTGGACACTTCAAGGGTATTATCCCATCTAATCTTCACAGCATTGTGCCCACTTTACAGATGAGGAAACTGAGATCCAGAGATGCAAAATGGCTTTCCCAGTGTTGGCCAGCTCTGCCTGACTGCTGAGCACTGGCCTTTTCCCTAAGACACTCACCTCCCCAGCAGACACCAGGGCCCTGTTAGCGGTGCCAGCTGGGTGCCAGCTCGGGGCAAGGGCTGGGGCGGAACTATCTTTCACGGATTCTGCTTCTCTCTCTCTTCTCTCCTGGGCAGCAACTGAACCATCCGAACATCATCAAGTATTTGGACTCGTTTATCGAGGACAATGAGCTCAACATCGTGCTGGAGCTGGCTGACGCGGGCGACCTCTCACAGATGATCAAGGTGAGGGCGCCTGGTGGGCAGGCAGGGCCCCGGGAGCGGCCCAGGCTCAGGCAGCCTTTCCTCCACATTTGTGGACACGCAGTCCCCTTGCTGATGCCCACAGGCCTCAGCTGTGGCCCAGGGAGTGTGCTGTGAGACCCCGACCCCGTCCACTGTGAGAGGGCCAGCCATAGACAGAGGGGACCCCTCTGGCCATCGCCACTGTCCTGGCCTGCCTTGGGCTCATGGGCCACTTCTCCTGCCTTACAGAATGAGCAACACAGATCCCTGTAGTAGGTCAGACCCCACCAAGTCATGGGATCTGGAAAAGTATCTTGTGGGTCTAGTGGCTTCATTTTACAGAAGAAGATATTGAGCCCAGAGAGGTTAAGAGACATTCCTGAGGATACTCAGCAACGTGGGGAGAGAGCCTGGTCTGTGGCCCAGGTCTATTTTGAGGACTAGGACCCTCCAGCGGATGTTGTCCCCAAGTTGATTTCCCTGAGGTCCCTCCAGCCCCTGGGGGCATCTTCATTCCCACGGAGCGCCCACGGCCAGGAGTCTCTGAGCGATTGATTGACTTGCCACGTTCTACACGCAGGCTCAGTGCCAGGCCTGGCCCTTAGTCTGCATTCCATGGCAGCTTCCACATCACCCCGCCCCTCACCCCACGTTCTGGGGCCCAGGCCCACCATGAGTCTGGAATCAGGGACCTTGGCAGCCCTGCTGTTGGAGCACGTCCTGTGGGCCACAACCATGCTAACCGCTAACCTCACTCACTGAGTCCACACTATCCTCAGACAGCAAAGTTCAGAGAGGTTTAGCTACCTGCCTGAGGCAGCACAGCCTCTAAGAGGGCCCTCAGGCCGGGGCCCTCAGCCCCACTCCCTGCTCCTCCCTCAGGGCTTCACTGCCCTACTGGCTTGACTGGAGTCGGCAGGCTGTTGTTGCGGGTCCCCATGCCCCTGACCGAGGCCGGCTCAAACACCCGCCCAGCTCCCAGCCACACTTGCAAATGGAGCCAAGTTTGGATTCTCCGTCTTTCCCACCAGGCACTGGGGATGGAGCAATTGCTCGACACTTGCTCTTCTGAAATTCGGCTCCTAGGAATACAGGCGTCGCTGAGAAGCGGCATTACTTGAGCTGTTATCACCTGCTTTTATATTTTCGTTGACATATTAATGTGTGTTGCAGGGATGTTAATCTCCACACAGATCCCTGGTGGGAACAGATGTGCTATATCATGTCTTAGTTCTTCCTTCTTCCCCGCCGACCCCCCCGACTTTGTCTCCCCTTCACACGCCGCTCTCCCACTGAGCACGCGTGCGCCCAGCACCCACAGTGTGCCAGGCCTGTCCAGAGGTCAAGGGGTGCTGCCAGCATGGGCGCTGCCCTCGGGGAGCTCGTCTCTTAACTTCAGGTGGGGGAGGGGCAGAGCCGGGAACAGTCGGTCTTGAGCCAACAGGAATAGGCGAGGGCAGGGCCTGCGAGCCGGGAAAGGCTTCCTGGGGAAGGCGACACCTGAGCCCACCTGAGGGGAGATCTGAAGTCTAGCGGCAGAACAGTCTGTGCAAGAGCCCAGAGGGATGAGAAACTGAGGGGTCCACAAAGCGCTTCAGCAGCGCATGACAGGGGAGGCAAGGGAGGGGCATTGGACCACCGAGGGTCTCCTGGTCCAGGCTCAGGATTCGGGGCCCCACCCTGAGGTCGCTGAGAAGCTTCCTAAGACCCGTGGCAGGAGTAAACGTGGTCAGCTTTGTGTTCTAGAAGACAGACTGGGTGCCGAACAGAGTGGGGGTAGGGGGCAGGAGGTGACAAAGAAGATGCCCTGGAATGTGGCCCACAGTGGGTGTGCCATACCGCCGGTCCCAGGAGACCCCAGACTCCTTGAAACCTCTCAATCTATGGAGCAAGGCTGGCATCTGACAGCCGGGGGCAGGGATGACGGGCAAGTAAATCTCTCTCTTCCCCACATCTCAGGGATGCATGGGAGGGCACTGTGGGAACCAGAGGCTGCTGACCAGCGCTGCGTCCCCAGGGCCCCCAAACTCAGGGGCCACGGCCACAGTGCTGGCAGCATTTGCAGCAGATGCTGAAGCTGGGGAATGGCCGCCATCCCGAAACCCACCAGAGGCTCGGCGCCTTCCCACTAAATGTCACATGGCGCTTATAGGACGTGACATTTAGAAAATCACCGCTTGCAGCCTTGCGCATCCCGCTTAAATGCCGTAATGAGGATTAGCTAACATCGTGGCATAAATAACACTCCAGCCCAGCCCAACTCGCAAGCCTGGGGTGGCCCGGGGGGCATGGGGGACCCTGTGCTGGGAGCCGGGGACAGCTCACCCCGAGACCCCTCCCCCAGCTAGAGCTTTGGGAGAGCCCCACAGGGCTTTAGTGCTGGGCCAGGGGCGTCCAGCTGTGACGGTCCTGCTGTCGGAGGCGCCCAGGTCCTGTCCCAGCTCTGCTGGGTGACCTCGGGCAGGTGCCTGAACCTCTGTCAGCGCAGGCCCTCATCGGTGGTGATGTCACTAGAAGTGGGTGAAGAGCCACGACTTGTTAGGCAAAAGGCCTGGGCTTGGGCTGTGCCTCTGCCCCTTCCAGCTGCGGCGTTTCCTCATCGGTGGGATGAGCGCGGTCATCCCTGCCCAGGGCCCAGCGCGGGCTGCACCTGGCAGGTGCTCGGCGGGGGCTCGGTGGGTCCTGCCTTCCACCCTGCACCCCCTTTCCCGAGCCCTGGAGTGCATCCGCAGTCGGTCCCTGCCATCTCTGCGCCAGAGTGGCTGCCCAGACAGAGGGACCCACGGCTTTGCCTCTGGCTGCTTTGGGAAAAGACGGGTGCTCTTGAGCAAAAAGCCCTCGAACAGAAACCTGAGACTTGGGTTATGGGCGTGTGCCACCTGCCTTCCCACATCCCAGCCTGGCTCACAGGGACAGGAGGCAGGAGGCAGGAGGCAGGAGGCCCGTCCCCGGGGGTGGGAATGGGTGTTGATCTGAACTGTGGACAGGACATGCTCCTAGTTCACTCCTTCCAGGACTTTGGTTCCTTACAGCTCACTCAGTGCAGCCTGGGTGGTTTTGGTTTTGGTTTATTTTGTTTTCTGGAGCATTAAATACATTTTTTCAGACAATGAAATAGGTGAACTCCTGTTGGAGCCGGGGATCCGTGGGAGGACGTCAGGCCCGTTTCCTTGAGGTTCTTGCCGGGTTTGTGACCGAGCACATGGGCTGGGATTTGCCAGCCCTCAGGAGGAGGGGCAGCTGTGAAGTAACCGCCAAGTGCATCTCACATGTCCCCGTGCTGGTCCAGGCTGTGGCAGGGGGCGGAGAGAGGCCACGCCAGGCCACCTCTGTTGGGCAGGGGAAGAAGATAGACGAGTGTCCAGGAGGTTCCAGAAAAAGTGTGATCGAGAGCAGACCTCAAGTTGTGGTGCAGCCCTCCATTCAGCAAAGCCCGTCAGGACACGCGCTCTGGGCCAGGCCTGCCCCGCCCTCGGGGCCTCGCTTCCCGGTGGGGGCGCACAGAGGGCTGCCGGGGGCGGCGGGGCTGGAGTAGAGAGGCGCACACAGTGACAGTGCACCCTGGGCCAGGCGCCGCCGGCCCTGCCTCTCAGCCCCTCACCTGGCCTGTCCATCTATCTGCCCGTCTCCCCCACGGCAGTACTTCAAGAAGCAGAAGCGGCTGATCCCCGAGAGGACGGTGTGGAAGTACTTCGTGCAGCTGTGCAGCGCCGTGGAGCACATGCACTCCCGCCGGGTGATGCACCGAGGTGCGTAGGCCGCCCTCCGGGCCCCTCAGGACATCCCCGCGGAGGTTTGACCCCTTTGTGTTCCCCAGACAGGTGGGCGTCGAGTGTCTTGCCCCTCCTTAGCAGAGGCAGCCCTGGGCAACACTGCACACACATGCCTTGCGCCCGTGTCAACGGCCTCCCCCTGGGGGGCTGTACCGAAAGCCAGACAGTTACATGGGCCCCAGAGAACAGGGGCCACGCTCAGCGCCCCATCTCCAGCCCCCAGTACCAGCCTGGGGCCCGCACAGAGGGGGTCGCAGCAAGGACAGGTGGAGGGGCTGGCTGGCCAGGAGCAAAGGAAATGAGACACCTGCAAAGGAATGTTTCCAGAAGTCGACATCATCCTGAGTTGTGATGAGAAAGCCTGCTGGGTGCCAGGAAGGGTGCTGGGTGCTTTGCGGAGGCTGCTTCCCTCGTTCATTCCACCTGTGATCACCAGCGTCTGCTGCATGCGAGGCATGGCCGAGTCACTGGTTACGTAAATTCTAGGGCTGCCTGCTATGTGCTGGACACTATTCCAGGCACAAGGATGTGGCTGTTAAAAAGGGAACAGCAGCACAAAGCTCCCTGCCCTCCTCGGCCCCACGGCAGCCCTGAGATGCAGGTGAAGTTAGACCCACTTGTAGGTGAGGAAACTGCTCTGAGCAGGGCTGGAAGCTGGGTCCCCCATCACCGGAGGGACATCCCCCAACCCCAGGCCTCCTCCTCCTCCCTCTGCCGCTCTGATCCCACACCAACCCCCTTCTCCTTCCCTGCAGACATCAAGCCTGCCAACGTGTTCATCACAGCCACGGGCGTCGTGAAGCTCGGTGACCTCGGCCTGGGCCGCTTCTTCAGCTCCGAGACCACTGCAGCCCACTCCCTGGGTAAGGAAGGCGGCCTTTCCGCGCCCCAAGAGCCCCAGCCCCGAGTGCCCATGGGGGTGGCATGAACACTCTCCCCACTGGCCTTTGCTTAGTGAGTGCAGGCAAATGCCTTTAGAAGCCCAACGCTATTGGCCTCTTCAGAAAGCAACCCAGAGGGAGTAAACCAAGACTCGACGGGTCCCGGTTGGGGCTTCCCTGTGTCCTCGAACCGCCTCACCCCTTGCAGGGAAGGATGGCCAGGCCCAGTGTGTGGAGGGGGACAACATGGCTCTGTCCCGGCACGTGGTAGTCATTCCGTCTGCCTCACAACTGCGCAGTGTTCCACCTGCGAACACATCACATTCCGCCTGCTCCTCCTGCTGGGGAACATTTGAGCTGTGTCCAGTTTTTGCCCTTTAAACGGGCGGTTTTGAAGCTGTGGGGGCTGAGTGCTCCCAGGAGGAGGTAACATTGTGGCTGGGCTGTGAGGAGTGAATAGGAGCTGGTGGGGCAGCAAGGGGGGACCTGGGTGAGCCAGGAGCCAGGTCCCCAGGACCTTGGGTGGCAAGGAATGCGGGCTCAGCAAACGGGCATCATCCCAGGCGTGCGGGGGCACTGAGGGCTCAGTGGGGGGAGAGACTGGGTCTGGCGTGTTTCGGGTCACATGAAACAATGTTGAGCTTCAGAACCCACGGGCCAACTACATAACGGACTGGAAAACTCGGAGCAACGGACAATGGAGACTTTTACACTTGACTGGAATAGAGAAGCCAGCACAGCCCCCCCCGGAGAACACAGACATGGGGCCCCCTGTGCCTTACAGTAAGCGTAGCAGCATCTCAGAGGCGGGCAGGGCGTCCCCCTTCGCGGAGCTGGTTTGCAGGGGAAGGTGCTCACAGGCTTCCCTCCCTGTGAACACCTCCCTCGAAAGCGGCTCTGTTCTCTGCTCCCCTCCGCCCCCTCCACGGCCCCAGCCAGTGTCTCCCATTCTCTGACCCCGAATGCCCGCAGACGCTGTGAGTGCACGCAGTGTCTGGTGATGGTGGAGGTGCTTTGCGGAGGACACGCTCTCCTAGTGGAAACTGTCACTCTTCACACAGGTCCTGATGGCTTAGAGGCTCTCAGGGTACAGCACGCCATCAGGAGAAATGTGCTAACACTAGCGATCAACAGCTCTGAGCTGCTTATAGGAGTGTAAGTGTGTGAGCTTACGTGTGTGCGAGTGCACATAAATGTGTGAGTGCATGTGTGTACGTGTGTTCATTTGTGCATGTGTGGGTGTTGTGACACTCTCGGCTCCATCTCACCCTGGATTGTACCTGACATGTTGCTGGTCTTCTGTGAGCTCAGAAAGAAAGGATCGCCATCCCACAGGTTCATGACACTTTGTTCACGCCTCCGGCAGCCAACGAGGAACCTGAAATCCAGGGAGCGTGAGTCACTCCTCCGAGTCCCTAGCGGCAGAGACAAGCCTCAAATGCAGGCCTCACGTCGCTCAGCCCACGCTTCCTCCGCAGGGCTCGGGGGCCTGGGGAGATTATCGCTGGGTTTTCTCCCTGAGCTCGGCCACTGACTAGCTCCTGGGAGACACCTTGTCTTTCCTGGTCCCCCCAGACCCTTCTCTTTGTGAAAATCAGTGTGTCTGTCAATGTGGGACTGTTTACCTCTCTGGTTTAAGAGCTTCAAAAAGGCCAGAAACTCAAGGGAAGCCGCCAAAGGGGAGTTAAGCCCCTGCCCGCCGCCCCCTGTCAGCCAGGTCCCAGCTCGCCTCCGTCCCACTGCAGGGAAGACGGCGGTGCTCGTCAGAGCCGGTTAGGGTCACATCATTAGGAATGGGCAGAAAACGGGCTCCGCCGACAGCGTGAGTTTATCGACTTGACTGCTGCACTTATTATATTAATGAGAAGGAATTGGAACTTGGGGAACGGCCATGCCTGTGAGCCGGGCTCCTCCCGAGGCCTCCGAGCGGCTGACGGGGCATGGCGGGTGGAAGGAGCTCTCCTGGGGTCGCAGTCCCCGAAGAGAGGGTGACAGCGCAGAGCAAAAGCCTAGGACCTGACATCTCCAGGATGCAGGAGAGAGACCCCCTTTCCCCAGCAAGATTCTGCAGGCAGCTAAGTCTTGCACACACGTTAGTTGGGGAGGGATTAAAGTTACTGCCATTGGATCGTGACTCAGGAAGAATGCAGGGCGTAGGGGGCTCCTTCTCACTCGTGCACGGGTGTGAATTATGCGTCTGTGCACACCTACTATGTGGGGCTGCTGTGGTGGCAGCCACGTTGCCCTGGCAACCACCTCCTCCCCAGGGCTGCTGACCCACTGGCAGTGCTATGCAAATCCCATCTCCCTGCCACTCCCTCCTCCAGCCCCCTCCCTGCCTCTGTATTTGCTAACACGAGGCTGGCATGAAAGGGCATTAGTCACGCCATGGCCGGGCTGACAGGTGCGGTACCCAGCGGTGGCAGAGCGGCTGCCTTGGTGTCAGGCACAGGAGCCGTAATTAGAGCGAGGAACGGAATGAGCGTCAGACGAATTACCAGGCAGCAGATCATATTTGTCAGGAAGGATTGCATACATAAAAATTAAGTGACAGTACACGCCGGCGTAATGAAAGAAAAATGAAAGATTTGCCTATACACAGCTCGCAAGCTACAAGCAAGTGTCTCGCTTCGAGCAACAGCAGCAGCTGCAAGACAAATTGTGGGGCTGGGAGACCAGGCCCTGCTCCTCAGCAGCCGTGACAGGGCGGCCCCCGGCTGCGGTCAGGGTGGGAGGGAGGCCGGCCCACACCCCTCCTCTCTGTCCATCAGGTACAGGCTTTCCCCAGCCGCCAAGCCGTGGCCTGGCCTCAGAGCGTGCATTCCTTCCTTCCCCTTCCCTGGACTGGGTTCAGAGGACGGGAGATGAGGCAGCCTTGCCTGCCTTCAGGGGGCCCCAGACTGGGGGTGGGGACAGAGAGAGTCAGTCCCAGGGTGGCGTGGTTTAGGATGGAGTCAGGTGGAACCGTCTCCTGAGGGCCCACTGTGCGCAGGCCCAGGGCTGAGCTCCTCGATGAAACCCGGGCTGGGGACTGCCCTTTCCTTCAGTTCCTATAGTCACTGACCTCAACGAAGAGGTGAATTAACAAAAAGGGCAAAGCTTCAAAGGCATTTGAAAAACATTTTGCTTTTAAAGAAATCACCCCACCAAAGCTTATTATCTCTGTTAGACAGATAAGGAAACGGAGGCTGAGAAGGGCGTGGGTCCCGGAGCCCTTGGGGTGACGCCGGGTCCTCTCCAGGCACAAGTCCGCGTGCTGGGAAGAGGCTTGGGTTCCGGCGGGCTCTTTAGGTCTAGGAACCCCGAGGGCAGCGAGTGCCCAGCCTCTGGTGGGGAAAGCCCATCCGGCCTCACGGCCGTGGGCTGTGTGGGACCTGGGCCATGGGGAAGTAGCGTGGGGCCTCCTCCCCTTGTCGAGTGCCAGCACTCCCATCGGCGTGCCCCTGCCTGGCATCCCCCGGGCCTCCTCCCGCCCATCCCAGCAGCCCGGACGCCTGGGCACAGTTGGTCTAGATCCCACGTTCTGAGTGCTGGCATCGGCGTAGGAGGTCAGGGCGGTCATGCCTATCTGGCCAGTGGTGCCTGCCTTTTCTGCTGCGTCGCTGGCATTTTTAGGGACAAACTATTAGAACGAGACCAGTGGATGCCAGAGACAGAAGCGGGGGGGGGGTCTCAAGGGGACAGCAAGTGAAGAACTTACCAGGTCTGGGATGCAAACTATAGCTTGTCTGTTTGGTCCTTCATTTACTCAGGAAGGATTTATGCCAGGCCCCGGCCAAGGCCCCTGTCCCCCGGGACTTACTGCCTGGGGATAGAAATTCATTAGAGTCTTCCCCGAGAACCAAGCACTGTTCCAATAATGACATCCCAGGTGCGGCCTTGTTTAGCACTGCGGGCACCTGGGAGGGCGAGTCACCTCAGAGCAGGTTACCAGGTGAAGAAGCCCAGGTGCGGTGAGGCGCGCACCTTTGTGATGCAGGTGTGGTAGACGAGGGTGAGGTGCGGTCACACCTCAATTTTCCATCCGAGAGGCCCTGGGTCATCTTGGGTAAGACCCCGATACCCAGAGACACGGAGTGCTATGTAGAGTCAAAGACTTGAGCCTCCCTGGTCTTCACATCTCTTAGAGAAACTCGGCATGGGAACTAGAAATAGGCAGATGTTTGTACTAGTGTAAACAATCTGAAATTGAGTCACTGCTGATAAAAGGATGATGTTTCTCCAAGGTCACTGCTTCTCCTGAGGGCTGTGTGTAGCTCGGCGTGGGGTCGGCTGGTAATTAATTTAAGGAAGATTTGATAATAAACAGAGACACAGGTGAGCCTGGTAGGAGTGTGTGTGTGTGTGTGTGTGTGTGTGTGTGTGTGTGTGGTGTCGCTGCCCAAAGATCCAGTGTTGCTGGGATTGTGGACAGTCTGGGAAGGTCGCAAATGCCAGGCTGAGGACCTAGCCTGTCTCCTTTAGGGAGTGAGGATCCAGCCAGGCATAGGGGCACGGTCCCTGATTTGGTGGGTAGGATGGGTGGGGTCAGGCAGGACGGGAGAGGCCATGCCAGCCCATCAGCCAGGCGAATGAGGGCAGCAGGCAGGGGGCCAGAGGGGAGGGGATGCCTCAGGGTGTGGGGCCTGGTTGGATGTTGGGGGAGGATCACAGAGTGACCACAATGCAGCTCACACCGCCCAGTGCCAAGGAAGGTGCCCTTAGGGTTCCAGAACCTCCTGGGCTCTTGCCCTGCTCTCTGCCATCCTCCCCCTCCCAGGGTTTGCGGGCAGCCGGGCCTTCCCAGAGCCTTCCAGCCTGCAGAAGGTCGTTCTGTCTCCACTTTCCAGCTGGGGAACCAGGGCTCTGCAGGATTGGGGGAGGGACCCCATTGCACCGGCGGCGGGGAGACCCGGGCTGAGAGAGAGTTCACGGCTGTGCCGGTGAGAGGCTGACACAGGCCAGGCCCGCGGGGTGCAGCTCCCGGCACACCCTCGCCCCAGCCCACGCTGTCCAGTCCCACCTGGCCAGTGGGTGCTGGTGACACCCTGTTTCTCTGGTCACTTTCAACACCGCCGTGCGGGGAAGAAGTGCAGGCCGCCGATGCCCGCCTCTCCTCCATGTGAAATCTTCGCCTTTTTCATAGCTAATGAACGTGTTTCAGACACCGTGAGCATTTCAAACCACGGCCAAGTTTGTTTTGACAGGAGTGGCGCGTCTCCGGGAAGCGAACCCTTTAATCAGCCTCCGCTTTGAGGTCCCCGGTTCTCCTCTGATATCTGCGGGGTTTGAAATCTGGGCGTTCTAGGTAAAGGCGCAGGAAGGTCAGGGTTTCTCAGGCTCCTCTTTCATATGCGGAGCTCGGCCCCCACTGTGAGGAGGGGGTGGTGGCAGGCTGAGCCGGCTGCACTGATGGGGATATTGCCCAAGGGGATTTGAGACCACGGTGGCTGGCTCTGGCTGCCCCTGGGCCTGCCCAAGTGCCCGCAGAGGACCCCTGGGGCAGGACGAGGCCTTCGGGGCACCTCCTCTTGCCAGCTTCTCCCACTCTTCCCCAGAAGCACGTCCTCCAGGGCCCGCTGCAAGCTTGGAACCTCTTTGAAGCCTCTCATCTTATTTTGAAAACTCATGCAAGTTGTGCATTATGCTTCAGAATGTTTGAGGACTTGTCAGTATAAAAGTCAGGTTTTACAGACTCCGTCCCAGGGGACACTGGCAAAACAGGAGGAGCTGCTGTGTTCTCCGCCTGCAGCTTTAAGACTCAGAGGCCAAGGCGGACAGGCCCTCCCCTGGGTCGGGGACTGGAGGATCTGACCCAGTGCCCAGCAGGGACAGCCCAAACTACCCTCAGTTAACATTTCATAAGTTCATTTGTTCCACGGACGTTCCTGAGCATCTGAAGGGCTGGCAGGTGGGTGCGGCTTTGTACAGCCCCTCTCAGATTAACATGCACCAGGTTCTTCCCAGAGCTTGTTCCGGGCCCCGCCCTGGTGATTCTGATCCCCTGGGTCCAGGGTGGGGCGGGGGGCCAGTTTTAATGCCACTCCTCCACGGGATTCAGCTACAGCCACTGATCAGTCCCACCTTTCCTGGATCAACGGGCTCCTTCTGGACACTTCCTTGGATAGGCAGCTCACTACCTCTCAATGGGCTCCCTCCTGGGAAGACCCAGCACAACATCAGAGCTCAGCCATCATTGGATACAGATGGCTTGATGGGCAGACGATGGATAGATAGATGAGTGGGTGATGGATGGACAGTTGTGGTTGGATGGATGGACGAGTGGACTGTTGAATGGATGGATAGATGAGCAGAGGATGGATGGATGGAAGATGAACGGATGATGGATGGACAGACTGATGGATGCCTGGACCTATGGCGCCTGTAGCACTGGCATCCTAGAAGAAAGTCCAGAGTACGTTTGGGTGTTTGCCTTTCGTGTGTCACACAAGTGGAAAGTGGGATAGGAACAGAAAGAGCAGTGAAGAGGTAGGTGGGGTGCTCCCTAACCTTTCTATCCCGCAAGCAGTGCTGAGGCAGAGGCCAGAGTCCCCGGCAGAGGGAGAAAGTGGTGACAGAACAGAGGGGCAAACCAGTGTCCACGCTGAGTAGCTCGCTCTCATGGGCCAGGGGGAGGGGCAGTTTAACTGGACCATAAAGGAGCTCACCAGGAGGCAAAGGGAACAGCATGTGCAAAGGCACAGAGGTGAACTGAAGAGCAAACTGGTGTTGGGGCCGGGGAGAGGGCCAGTGCAGGGGTTCTCCTGCAGGGGCAGGCACTCAAAGCCTTCGCTTTCGGATGGGCCTGGCCGCTGTGCAGGTCCTTTGTCCGGGCGTCCCTCCTGTAGACACTCAGGCAGATCTCACATGAGCAGAGGACAGGACTGGGCGGGGGTGAGAGGTGTCAGGGCCCGCCCGCACTCCCAGCCAGGAAGGGGCTTGGCCGTGGGGCTGAGGGGTGCAACGCCGCCAGACAGTGGACACTGCTGTCCCTCACTAAGGACAAGGCCCCCGCACCCCCGCCCCTGCTGTCTCCACGTGTACCCGATCAGCCCCACGTGGCCGTCCCGTGTGGGAGGCGGCTGTCACCTCCCAGGCACATCCGTCCGCAGCACCCTGAGCCCTGGAATCACTTACCGTTGGTCTGAGGTTCCTGCTGTTAACTGAGACCTGTTTGGATGTCACCCTGTGATTTGGTTGTGACAAGTCATCCATTTCACACTTGCCTATTCATTGTCATTTTGCTCCCTCATGACCAAAATATACAGGAGGCTGCTACCAGAAGTCGTAGCTTGCATGTAGAATCCCGCAAGGACTCGCGCGTTGACTGACAGCTCTTTCTGCTGAATGGCAATTAGCCCCTGACTTCAACCCTAGAGTATGCAGAGGATGACACAGTTCTCAAACCACGTGCTTAAGTGACGGCTGCTGTCCTTGTTCAGGGATTATTGCCATCAAAGGGTGCTTGGTGTTCTGTTAAAGCAATAATCAGGTAGTCCCTCTTGGGTGGCCATCAGTCAAGGAAATAGTGCATTAGGCTGCAAGAAAAAAGTCCAGCACTGACATGCGCTACCTGACATTGTGCAGACGGATTCGTGGACTCAGCAGGGAGATGCTTGCTAGGTGCCTGCTGTGTCCTGGGACCTGGTCCTGGGCAGGGTGCAGGGATGCTTCGGCAAACAGGGTCCTGCCCCCGAGAAGCCTGAAACGGGTTTCCAACACTTCACAGCTTCTACAAGTCTGTGTGACAGATTTTTCTCACGTATCTCCAGGGAGATGAGAAAGATGAGAAGATAAAGTTTTCAGATAACTAAACATTTTTAATGTAAAGGACTCTCCTTGATTTTGAGATCATGCGGTTTCTATTCTGGGGTTAAACTGTCTTGGTTTTTCACAGTCATCGTGACACTAATTGGTAGTTGGGGTTTTGTGTGTTTTGAACACCTTCAGTTGGCAAAATTCAGCTGCCCTGAAACACATTTGGCCCCTGAAATCCTGAAGCTCGGCGCCTGCTTTGGGGCTGCTGTGCCTTCCGAGTCCGGCTCACGGGAAGGCCTGTCCTCCCAGGGTCCCCTGTGTTCTCTCGTCCTGGACATCCATCCTTCCCAGGGCTGGAAGCCGCATCGCAGGCTCAGCCTCGGCCTCGCTGAACTTCGGGTTCCTACGCCGACTCTGGCCACCACGGCAGCCACTGTCACATTCACATGGTGTCTCCCCGCTAGTGAAAATGTCCTCCGTATGGCAGCCTGTACCATCTGGTCCTAAAGCCTACAGAACAGCCACGTCCGAATGGACTGAGGTCAGAAACTCAGGTTACAAATCCAGATTCCGGGGCCCCTCCTCAGCCCCGCCACATCAGCTCCTTGCTGCAGCCTGCATGCCTCCGGTGGTGGAGAGCTCACCATCTCTCAGGAAATCCTCCCATTTTTGCATGGTGCCGGCTCTTCAAAAGTGGGCCCCCTCCGCTTTTTAAATTGAGGTGGGATGTATATACAGTAAAGCTCCCTGCAGCCCTTCCCTGATCATGGCCCGTCTGGAGCAGCTATTCCTGTTCTCGATAAAAACGGGACCCTAGTGCATGCTCTTGGGTGCCTGGCTGCTTTCACTCCCCACGGTGCCTGTGAGAGGACTCCATGCTGTGGCATGTATCCGAGGTTGGTTCTTGTTCGCGGCTGCTTAATATTCCATTGTGTGAGCGAACCACGTTGTCAGCCTATCCATTCTGCCATCAACTGACATTTCTTTCCAGTTTCTGGCTATGCTGAGTAAAGCCACTTTGCACATTTTTGATCATGTCCCAACAGACAAAAACCACTCATTTCTCTAGGGAACACACACACACACACACACACACCATCCGCCCGCCGCCAGGGGTGGACTTGCTGGGGCCTGGTGTTGGCCATGCTCAGCCGCAGAGTTTGCCACCGTGGCCGTGCTGCTCGGGTTCCAGCCTCGGTTCCTCTCTTCTTAACCGTAGCCATTCACGTAGTGGGTGGCAACACTTTAATGTGCTTTTAATGAGTAATGAGAAAAATAACATCATTCCCTGTGCTTCCTGGCCATTTGGATATTCTCTTTGTGACGTGCCTCTTCAAGTCACTTGCCAGTTTGAAGTAGGGGGTTGTCTGTCTTCTTCTTACTGATTTATAGGAATTTTCAAATATATCCTGTATGTGAGGCTGTTGTCGGGTCTGCGTGTTGAGACTATTTCCTCCCAGGCTGTGCCTTTTAACTCTCTGAGGGGTCTTTTGGTGAACTGAAGTTCCTAATTTTAATGAAGTCCAGTTTGCCGATCTTTCCTTTTAGGGGTAGTGTCTTTTCCATCCTATTTAAGGACTCTTGGCCAGCCCCAGGTCAGGATGTGCCAGTTGGGGCCACCTGGGGGCGGTGGCTATGGGCTCTGTCTCTGGAGCCAGGAGATCTGAGTTTGAACCCAGTCCGGCTGCTTTTCTGAGTCTCAGTTTCCCCACCTGTAAAATGGGGACGCCTCCTCACTGAGCTGTTAGGGACATGAATGACCTAACCCATGTGACATATTCGGTTACCGTTGATAGCGGCGATTGGTCGGTTGCTCCCCGGAGCTTGGCTGCTATGTCCCACTTCCCTGGGCCCAGAAACCCCAATTCCCAGGTGCCCAGCCCCCAGGCTGATTCTCAGGTCTGGGCGGGTCCCTATCCCCGGGGGCTTCTAGTGCCCTACCAGCATGGGAACCTTCCATCGGGCCCAGCCCTCTCGTTGGAAGAGGAGGGGGTGGGAGGAGGGGGAAAGGGGCCGCCGGGGCCCCTGTGAGACTGAGTCCAGGCCTCTCTCCAGTCTCCCTGTGCTCACATGTCCTGCCCCTGCACAGAGAATAAGCACCCACCCCCTTGTGTTTCAGTGGGGACACCATACTACATGTCACCAGAGAGGATCCATGAGAACGGCTACAACTTCAAGTCCGACATCTGGTCTCTGGGGTGTTTGCTGTATGAGGTGAGCCCAGCGGCATTCGTGGTGGACCCCCAGTGGGGCAGGGCGCACTCCGCCGGCCCAGGGTGGGAACCCAGGGGTGGGTGGTATCGACCTGTGGCATCTGGGCTCATGCCCGGACCTGGTGGCCATTCTGGATGGAGGGACAGGAACACGTCGGAGTCTTGGTAAGCTCAGACACTACACAACATGAACAAATAGATGCCCCCACCCCTGGGGCCCCAGATGACTGGGGGTCTGGGGAGCACAAGCCACTTTCAGCCGTGAAGCTGTGGCAGAGGGACAGCAGGAGGCCCGATCCCTCTAGTAGCTCCAGGCCGGTGGCCACAACCTCCCACTTCCCTGGCCTGGACCACCTGGCGTAGGAATCCTGTCCAGCTACCCCTCCAAATCGTCTTCGCGTAGACTGTGGCCACGGGGCTGCTGAGGCCAGTGACAAAGCCAAGCCCAGGGCTGACGCGGCTGTCCCTGGGCTCAGTGCTCCAGCATCAACAGCCCCGCCCCACCCTCTCTTGTCCCGGCCTGCGTCTGAGCAGAGGGTTCCAACCCACCTCTAAGTGGGCGCCGTCCACCCAGATGTCAGTCCTGAGGGGGAGGGGCTGCCGCTCTGCATCTCCCAGGATCAAGCAGGTGGCCAGAGGGCAGGGCCCTTTTGAGTTAGTGTGTGTGTGCGCACGTGTGTGTGTGTGACTGCACATGTGTGTATGCAGCCCACATACCCATGGTGATTTGGGTGAGAGAGATACTGGTCCTGGTGTGAGCCCAGACTTTGGTCAGAAGGACACAAGTTCAAAGTTCAGCTCCCACCCAATGCCTGAGGGCCCCAGAGCAACACAGCAGGCCCAGTGGCTCCAGGATAAAATGGGGTCACACCTTGCCTCCTTGTAAGGCGTGAACAGCTCCTGGCTCAGGGAAGACCTCGCTCCCCCTCACTGTCCACCGGCCCCTGACCTGCCGCGGGCCCAGCCGTTGGCATTTGCTACCTGCCTCTGGCCGGGAGGCTCTGCAGCAGGCCACGTCCCCATTTTGTTCTGGCCAGTGGGACGCCTAAGTGCTGCTCAGCTTCCACCCCGTGGAGGACACGGCTTTGTCCTCCTGCCCTCATGGATATTGTCCCTGGTCCAGATGGTCGGGTCCTTAGTTTTCCATTCTGAACTTGGGTATTTCCATAAGCTGCGGCCTGCCTCTGTGAACCGCGAGGGTCTCCAAACATCAGCCAGCAGAGACGCAGACAAGGGTGGGGCGGGCACACAGGGGAGGGGGCAGCTGGTCCCCGTGCTCGCTCCAGGCTGTCCACACTGGAGCCGGCCCGGCTCCTGCCCGAGCCTTCATCTCAGCTCCTGGAGGCAGACGCAACCTGAGCCCGCGTACAGGGCTCGCCTTGCAGACCTCGGGCCCAGCAGCCCTCCGAGTCCTCGTCTTGGGCACCTGAACGCATGTCTAATGACACAGTGTCTCAGTTAGTGGCTCCCCAGCATGGAGGCTTGGGTTTGCCAGGTTGATTTATTTGTTGGCTGTGTGTGGGGCCACGCGGCTGGCAGCCGGGAAGGGACGTATCGGCCGTGTGAAATCGATGAAATCAATCAGTCAAGTCCTACGGGCATTGATGTCCTTGGGGACAGCAAAGACCAATCTCAACCTAATGGCCCTGGGCCACCCACGGGGGGGACTTTTGTGGCTGATGTGGCCTGTAGTGGCAGTCGGTGGGGGCTCTGCCCTGGGCTGCCGCCCCCTCCCATCCCCCAGCCCCGCAGGGAAACAGAAGCGTATGTTTTCCCAGCAGACAGGGAGGGAGACTCATCTGAGCCCAGGGCTCGGTAATTGGAAGGAAACATCCCGCAGACACGGCTGGAGCTCCCGCTACACAGCCCGTGGTGGGTTCCAGGGCGCCAGCCTGAAGAGCTGTGACAGAGCCACACACCCCCGCCACCTCCAGACCATGTGTCTGAGGATCTGGTGTGGCCCCCGTGGAGCGCACCTGGGCACAGAGCCAGGGAAAGCCTGTGCCTGGCAGGGACAGGCCTGCCCTTCCCCGAGCCCCCGCGAGGCCGGGAAGAATCAAAGCCCCTTCTTGGCTTCCTGTGGCTGCTGTGACCTGTCACCACCAAGATGGTGGTTTCATGCAACATAAAATTATTCCCTCGCCGTTCTGGAGGCCAGTAATCCAAAACCAGTTTCACTGGATTAAATAAAGGCAAGGGGTCCTCAGGGCTGGTTATGCCCTGCCACGCGCATCCCTGGGCTCCTGACCCCGTCACTCCCTCGACACTTCGCCGCCTGCCCCGTAGTCAGATCTTCTGCCTCCCTCTTGTAAGGGCACCGGTGACGGTGTTTAGGGCCCACTTGGATCACCTGGGATAATATTCCACCTGGCGATTCTCAGTTTAACCACACCTGCCAAATCCCTTTTGCCATATAAGGAAACACAGTCGCAGGCCCCGAGGATTGGGGCGAGGAGGTCTTTAGGGGCTGTCCTTCAGCATCAGACATCCACCAAGGACCTCCTGAGGTCACTGAAGATGCTGATGCTGACCGTGGCTAGAGAGGAGCCACCACAAAGCCCTGCACCTGGCCTGCGCCCTCAGGGGTGGGTGCCAAGTGGGATCTGCCTTGAAGAGGTCAGCACCGGAGAGACCACGGCCCTAGACACGGGGGGAATCACAGAACCGCACCAGCTCGGTCCCAGCCTCACTCTAAGGGAGGGAGAGAGGTGGAGAGACTTCAGTGTCACACAGCCCCCCTGTGGACAGGAGCCCAGACCTCTGCCTCCTCCCCAGCCAGCGGAGCGGACATGGATGAAGAGAAGCGGGATCTCTGCCCAGAGCTCCTGTGAGGGGAAAGCCAGGTTTCAAGGAGCCCTGGAGCGGCTTCAGGGCCCCTCCTCTGCCCCGGGAGCTCCAGCAGAGATGCCGGAGTTCAGCCATGTTGGAAGGCCTGGTGCTTTATTTTCATTACCCAGCACGCCCCGCGGAGGCGCCCAGCGGGCTGCCTGGCTCTGCAGAATTTATTTATCTACAAGGGAGCTGAAGGAATTGGCTCATTCAGTGCCAGCCCCAGGATCCTCAGCGGGGGGCCAGGGGAGGGCTCACAGCTGCCTCCAGGGGCCTGTGTGGGACTGAGACCCCGCAAGAAAGCAGGCCAGGGAAGGAGCAGGAATCAGCTGCGCCTTGCTCGGATCTTGCCCTGGAATTCTGGCCTGGGCCAGGGAACGGTCTGGATGCCCCTGCCTCGTCAGGGAGCAGGGCTGCGGGCTGCTTGGCGATGGGGCCTCCGGGTTCAGGCTCCGGGCCGTGCCGGGGAGATGCTGAGTGTCTGAGTCCCTGACAGGGTGGGAGTCAGGCAGCCACTGTCCTCTCTGCAGTTGGGTTCCCCTTCTCCCTCTGACATCTCAGATCACACACCGGTTCCTCTGAGCCCTCCCAGCGGAGGCAAGTGTCCGCACTCCCCCATTTCCCTGGCTGTGTGCATCGCAATAACGCCAGACAGAAACAGCTCCGCATTTGAGGAGCAGCGCTGGGAGCCATGGCTTTGGCAGTTCTAATGAGGCAGCCAGCATCCGCCACAAAGAGCAGTTCCCCTTCTCTTTGACCCGTGAGAGGAGGAGGGTGGTCACCAGTACAGGGTGATCTCGCCATGCAGGGTACATGGGTCTAATCCAGCGTCCGGAGCAGCCCCAGAGGTTCCCTCACAGCCCGACGCCCCGGTCTGGGTGGCAGGCCTGTGGCCGGCAGCTGGAGCGGGTTTGCTGCTTCCTCTAGAGTCTGCATTTATGGACAGAGAAGCCGCTGTTCTCAGCGAGCCCTCTTGCCTTCTCTGGCATAGTCCACTGCTAACCCTGGTCAAGAAGCTTTTCCCAAACAGTATGGGGAAGCTGCCAGGAAGGAGGGAGAAACGATCCAAAAGGGGGTGGCGGATAGAGGATAGAGGACTTGCCTCTCGCCAATTTCTGGGGCCCTTTTGGAGTCGCAGACAGCAAGGTTTTTGCAAATACCAGACTGGCTTGTTGAAAACATCACCGAGCCCCTCTCCCAAGTCGGTCACATGAAAAATCAGAGCCTGTGTCCGTGGGGCCAACATTTAAACGTCCTTTCTACTCTGCACAGAAACACTTTGCAGGAAAATCCGTCTTAATCCTCCTGCCACGACTGGGAGGGCACCCAGGTCGCCCCGAGTGACCCCTGGAGCCTCAGCTGCTCTCTGCTGTGGCAACAGATGTCCTTTTGAAAATGCCCAATTAACCCTTTGCACTGAGGTTCTCATTTTAATCACTGGGAACGACCACCCGAGCAATGCCATTTTGCACACGCAGTGGCAAAGCCAGCGCCCAGCCAGGCTGGCAGAGCCCGCAGGAGGCAGGGCCTCCACACACTCACCCTTCCCTGCCCAGTGCTGGACCCCGTCTCTCTGTGAGGCCCTTTCTCGGTCCATATGGGCTCCCGGCCCTCGCAGAGGGGCCCAGAGCCCTGGCCACGGGAGTGGAGAGGTGAGGCTGGCCCTGGACACCCACACGGAAGCGGCAGGCCCGGTCCAGGCACCGGGGCCCACAGGTGCTGCCCGGACACACTCCTGGGCCTGGGTCAGAGGAAGCCCCCAAATTTCCAGGCCACCCTGCTGCCTCCCCAGTGGCCGCTTGTAAACCCAAGGGCGCTGCCTGGACTCTGAAGCCCCCTTGGGTTCAGAGGTAAACAGAGGGTGGGGACAGACAGGGAAACTAAAGCCAAGACGCACCCCCACACCCAGCTGCCATGGGCACCTCCCGTCCTGAGGTAGGCAGGGCTCACGGGGCCACCCTCAAGCCTGAGGACAGGGAGGACTCGCCAGGGACCCCAGTGCCCCGCACAGCCAGAGCCCAGGAGCCCTCGGCTGGGATCTGTGGGGAATGGCCTTGGCCGCCTAGCTCCTCCAAGGGAACGAGGGCCAAACGGCCAGACAGGAGCAACTCCCGGGCCGTACTTCATTAGCAGGAGGCACTGGGCCGTCTTTTGGCGGCGGGCAACGGTGAGCGGGAATGATGAGAAGCACTTGAATCCCATTACGGACTAATCAGCAGATGGGGCCGCAGGCACCAGCAGGCACCGTGCTGGGCTGCCCCACCGCCGCCTCCTGGAGCCCGCCCCCGGCTCCCGCCTGCCCCCTTTGGAGACCCCCCCAACAGTGCTGTGAATGGTGGGCTGGGGGACTGGGTGCTCCCTGGGGGTCCTGGTAGTTTGCTGACTGGGTGAGAACACACTGGGGTCACCACAGTCCCTCCGCTTCCCTGTGCCCTGGGAGCCACTGCCTTCTGGGCGCAGGTGGGTCTGTTCCCTTGTTAGGGACCAGGAGGCCAAAGGCCAGACACATAGGAAGCGCCCAGAGTTTCTGTGACACAGAGGGCCCCAGGCCCCTACACCCAGGGCGGCTGGCCGGCCAGCCCGCCTCCCTCCTCCTGCCTGCCCACCCTGATGCTGTCTGCGCATCCAGCTTCCAAGGCAGCAGCGGCCAGGCCTTCAGACAGCAGCCTTGTAGTGGGCTGGCAAAAACCACCAGCATGAACGCCAAAAACGAAATGCCTCCCCCCGCCCCCGCCTCCAGCATGTTTGTCCTTAGGTAATTCCCTGAATGTATTACTTAAATAGACATCCTCCCACGGGTGCTTTTGGAATTTGCTTCTTAGAAATGTAGGACGATGCACCAGGAGGACCTGCCAGGCCCAGGCGCCCATCCTACTGAGCAGAGCCTCTGTTGCGCCATCTGCTACATGCACTCGGCCAGATCGGTCCTGGAGAGCCGAGGCGTGAGGCGCGCGTGGGCCTGCACGCGGCCGGCCCTCAGGACTCCGGGGTTGCCTGCGAAGTTGTGTCGCTGAAACCCTTGCCCCATTTAATGTGCTTACGTAACAAGGGTGGTGTGAAAACGGCCCCTTTTGTGGAATCCCAGCTTCTGCAGGGTTTAGGGGAAAGTCCTGCAGGACCGTGGTGGGGACCAGAGGCTGTAGTGGGGACCAGAGGACCATGAATTCCCCAGTCTGGATTTCAAGGCTGCAAACTCCTCTCCCCCAACCCCCTTCCTTGCAGATGGCTGCTCTCCAGAGCCCCTTCTACGGAGATAAAATGAACCTCTTCTCCCTCTGCCAGAAGATCGAGCAGTGTGACTACCCGCCTCTCCCTGGGGAACATTACTCCGAGAAGGTGAGCGGGCTGCCCCCAGGGCCAGTCCTGGCGAGCCCCAGCCAGTCTCATGGGGAGGGGGCTGAGCTTGAGCTCACTCAGTGGGGTGGAGGAGGGAAGATTTCTGGGAAAGTGACTCAGAGGGGAAAAAAAGTAGATTATTGTTTCGGAAGAGCTCTCGTGACACCAATGTCTGTCTGGCCCCCAACCCTGGGCTCGAGTGTGGGGCTCGCCGCGGCACGTCTGGGCTCTGCCTGGTGTCAGACAACAGAAACCAGACACTGAGGCAGGAGGTGGCCCTGGCTCGCCCTGCTCTACCCCTGGCTGTCGCTCCGCTCCCATGACAGGAAACCGCGGCGGGCAGACGGGTCTCCTGCCGTTACAGACCCAAGTTTCACCTTGGGTTTGGTTTCAACATTTTACACCAGGTACAGGGGCCCTGGACACAGACTCTGACAGGTCTGGCGTCGGGCTGCATCAGGCACCACGTGTGAGCATCGTCTTCCTCAGTTCCGTGGCCGTGAAAATAGGGGTAGTGTTTGCCTTTGTGAATGAACATGAGGCTGAAATGACAGGTTTACAGCACAGCCTGGCTGAGGGTGTAGACAGAGGCGTGGGTTTACATACTCCCTTCACTGTTCCTGAGCGAGACGCTGAACTTGTCTGAGCCTCAGTTTCCTCCTCTGTAAAGTGGGGATAATCCTAGAATTCACCACAGAGTCAGTGTGAGGATTAAGGTAATGCATGTGATGTGCTCAGTCTAGCACCAGGCTGATATTGACCCCGTCATCATCAGAAGCAGCCTCTGGATGTAGCACAGGGCCTGGCTCAGAGCAAATGCTCAGTAAGCGTCAACTATGAGCATTATTTCTCTTTGAGCTTCATGCTAGTAGATCCATGATTAATTCTGTCCAAGGACAACATGAGCGGGTGGAGTCGGAGGCCTTCCTGGGCCTGCCCTGCAGGACCACCTGCCATTCACTGCCTCACGCTAACGGCATCTCACGTTCATGACCTACTCGGCTGGGTCCTCCACCATCCCGTTTTACCAGTGAGGAAACTGAGGCACAGATGGGTTAGGTCACTTGCCCAAGGTCACATCACTTGCAAGTGGTGGAGGCAGGATCTGAACCCAGCCTTTGAGTTCGACGGCGTGCGCACTGGCTTCGGGCTCCCAGAGGGCGGAGGGCGAGGGGCAGGGGCACACCTTCCCAGGTGCTCAGGGCCCTCGCTCGCAGCGTTGCGCGGTGGCTTACCAAGTTCCTCTGGGTGCCTCTGGAGGAAGGACTTACGCTCTGGAGTTGAAGTTGGCCAAAATATAAAAAAATAAAAACCCCTAGTTAGAGCTCTTTACCAAGTTAATGGTTGCACTTGGTTTTTCTTCTCACCTTTGAAGTTTGGAATTCTGTACTATTCAGCAGCGAGAAGCCTGGAGCCAGGCAGCTACGAGCAAATCCTAACTTCTCTGTGCCTCACTTTCCCACCTATAAATGGGAACCATACTCTGCCTCACAGAGATGACGCTGAAACGAGCACATCTGTGCAAATGCCCCGGGCCCCTTCTCCAGCCGTCTGTCCAGCACGAGCTCCGGCTCCCCGGGGCCTGGCCCTCCCAGTTACTGCACCTCTCTGGGCCACGTGTCTGGGAGCGAGGGGACTTCTCGCCCCAGAGTCCCCAGCACACCTCGCTTTTGAGGTTCTCTCACCTCTTAGAAATGAAAATAGACACATTTTTCTCTTGAATTCTAAAATTGTCAAACATGCACTTACTGCCGCCTGCATGGTCTACTCACAACGACCATGGGGTCGCAGAAACTTCACCAGTTTTCTTGGGTACATTGCCTGTCAGAGGCCAACCACAGCTACCTTCCCCTGAACACTGTAAAAGGTTCCAAAAAGTATCATCTCCTCCTGGGCAGCCTTTGGTCTGCAGGCAGGCCCAAGCCGGCTGCAGGCCGGGCCCCCGCCCGGGCCTTCCTACGTTTGTGAGGCAGTAGCATCCCGGCCGGCCCCGCAGATAGAGGGTTGCGCACAACGCCTGACCCGGAGGAACCTTGTTTACAGCCCGACACCTCAGGCATGACACATGTGTGGTGCACAATAGCCCCAGGGCCTCCACTTGACCCTTCGGCCCTCCCCAGACTCCCTGAGCCCAGCCTGGAGGCCACATGAACCCCCTTATTCAGGATCAGCCCTCTCCTGCTGCTGCCCCTGACCCGCAGGGCCGGCCAGCCCCTCCAGCAGCAGGTATTTAAATGAAAAAATTGCAGTGAGCCCGGTGATGCAAGTTAAGATGTAGGCTTTTTAAGGTCATTATTTTAATTACCATTAAAATAATTGGCACTCTGGCTATCAGAGGGGAGGGGATTGGAGGCTGGGGCGCCCCTCCCCCACTCCAAGGCAGGCGCAGCCTTCGGTGTCTGTATAATTAAAAGCTCCGTCTTTCATGAGCACAATAAAGAGGCCAGGGGGTGGGCAGACTGCAGCCCGGCTGCATGTTAATGCATTTATTATGATCAATAAGCCCTTGCCTGGAGTTCTGTCCTCTGGTTTGGGCATCTGTGTGACTGACAGCAGACACACACACAGATTTCCCTAATAGTGTGAACGTTTCAGAGTTCAGAATTATTTGGAGGTAACCACTGTCAGGGTCTCAAAGCATGGATACGCCTCAGATTGGTCCTGGCCCTGCCCGGTGGCTGTGGCCACGCACCCGCCCCTCATCCTCTCTCAGCAGCCTTCCTCACCTTCTAGTTGCCTTGAGGGCTGCGTGAGTTAACCCGTGAGCTATGCAAAGTGCTGCCAGAGCCCCAGCAAGGCTGCTTTCTTAAAACTAACAAAGCTGTCCTCTCCTTTGCAGTTACGCGAACTGGTCAGTATGTGCATCTACCCCGACCCCAACCAGAGACCTGACATCAGCTACGTGCACCAGGTTGCCAAACAGATGCACGTGTGGACCTCGAGCACCTGAACGTGGACGCGGCGTGCCTTATCAGTGCCAGCACCACTCTGCCTTACTTGAGTCTCCTCTCCTAAGTGGCCACCTGGTAGCCTAGATCACCTGAGAGGCTTCAGCGCGTCCCCCAAGGGGGAGGGGCTTTACAGCAGACTCTGGATGCAGAGCATCTGGGGGAGGGGCACTGGTCTTGTTACTGGTGATCAAATCCAAAAGTCCTTTCTTTAAACTGTTGTGGACAGTCTCGGCTGGGCTAACCAAGGGTGCGTGGCTCAGTGAGCCAGTGATGCACCATTTCTATCTGGACTGTAATGTGAATCTTCAGGATAATTCCTTCAGTGACTGGTCAAGGTTGATACTAACAATTCCAGGAGACTGTGTGATTTGTAGTGAGCCTTTGGAAATGGCTGGTAACAAGTTCAGTTTAGCTCTTAGAGTCTTTTTAATCAAGCTGTGTGCTTAATTTACTCTGTAGTAAAGGGATAATGTGGGCATAATTTTTTAAAGTAGAGGGAGATTTTCCTAATATTTTTATCTGTTTATCAATCAATGAATGAGGATGAGAACCCAGCACCAGGCACAGAGCTTCGGGAGACAGTATTTGGAAGGCATGAGTCTGCTCTACCAGGTACTTCACCACCTGTCTGAAGCTGGCAGTTCGTTTAAGGATCAGTATTAAACATCTTCCTCTGTGGGAAGGAAGAATGGGATATAAAAATACAAACACAAAACATGCCTTCAGGCTGTTCTCTGTACACGTTCTGGTTTGGCAACTTCCCATGATGACCCTTGGCAAGTTTCTTAGCCTCTCTGAGCCTTAGTTTCCTCATCTGTAAAATGGACTAATAATACCTACCTTCAGGGTGCTGAATCCGATATAAAATATGCAAGTTGTCTAGCACATGGAGACAATCCAGTAGTGGGAAGCCACTCACCCCTTCACAAAACTCAAGTCCAGGGGCCATGTAAGAATTAATGTACAACCATATTATGTGTAGGAAACCAGAAATGTGTTCATTTCTTGTTCCCAAATAGGATTAACTGTGAAGACTAATTTATAAATGTGAACTTAAGGAAAACGCAAGCTCTGAAGGAAATGGTTTGAATTGTTTTTATACTCAAGTTAATCCTCAAATGGTCTAAGTTGTCATCCAGTGACTTGGTGACGGTGCAGCCCTCCCGACAGAGCAGGCACCGCCCCTCCGTCTGCGTCCTGGCCTGTCCTGGCCTGCCCGGGCCTCCGTGGGGGTGAAGGACTCGGGCCGGGCCCCTGCTCTGTCCCCACGTGTGAACTCTGTTCTACTGTTAACACTGTCGAGTTTGAGAGACTTCTTCAGACGCAACCTTTGCTTTGTACATGTTCTCCGTGTTTGAAATAAAACGGGGCTGGGGGGACACTTGTGTGAATGAGCCTGGTTCGTGGGTCATTTTAAAACAGCTTCGCACTGCAGCACAATTCCTTGAGGCACCTTTAAAAACACAACTTTCTCAGGACCCAGACATTCTGCATAAACCTGGAATTTTTTTTAAGCTCCCAGATGATTTTGACAATCATCAGCCAAGTTGCTGCCCTAAATAATTCCACTGTTCTCCCTGTCCCACTACTGGCAGTTCTAACAGGGGAGGCTGGCCCAGGAGCCAGCGCTGGGTCCTAGCCACGCTCCCCCGGCAGGAGAGTCAAGGCCCTGTCTCCTACCGAGCGTGTCCCACTGAAAGTTTCTCAGATTCCAGGCAGATTTTTTGCAAATACTCTGCTTAAAGTTCTGAGACCCTCCTGTGCTTCCTTTGGCAGAATCGGCATCAGACATAGATGAACTCACTTTTCCACATGTCACGAGAATCATTCTGCCTACTAGGACCCTCTGGAGGCGCACAATTTCTGCCCTTCACCAGACCTAAGTGTTTGTGAAACGAGCACATCCTAATAATTACAAACAGGAATCCCCATGGCACTCCTTTGATTTCTGTGAAACTAGCCTAAGAGGAGTTCGACCAGTTAGGAGTTCATGCAGCTACGGCAAAGGAGACTGTCTACCTACCTGCTTTCTGTTGGTGCTTAGACCTGATCATGCCAGGCTATTTCTTCCCAATTTGGCTGCTGAGGGAAAAGGCTATGCTGCACTCTAGAGAAAACCCAGGGACCCTCCTATACAAAGAGAAGGTAAGTTAACACAAGGGCTGGGTATAAGTGTTTGCCCAAAGAATCAGAGTAACCGCACCTGACTCCTGCAACATGAGCCTTGTCTGTCTGTAGGGTTATACTGCCCTTACACCCACCTGACCACAGACTGGCATCAGGGAGGGAGTAACGTCCCAAGGGGAGGCCACGTTGATGGGGCTTAAAAGCAAAAAACGAAAAAACTCACACAGCCCCCCAACCCCAGCCACTCAATTTGGTTTTCATTCTTTATTGGGTTTCATTCAGCGAACACAAGCCAAATCAGTATCTTACAGGGGCACCTTCCCCTGCCCCCCGTCTTCTAGAGCAGTGACCCGCCATCCACGGACACCATTCAGGAAGTGTCCATCGTTTGGACTGTTTCTTCCAGCACCTCAACTTCCAAGGTAGTGACTTTTTCGGTGAGGACTGCAGTGGTCCCTTTCTCACACCGGTAGCGGCCGAACCTAGTGAGAAAAAAATAACATCCAAGAGTTAAGATCCCCTCCAGGGGCCTGGCCCTGAACTCTGGCTCTGCTGAGTCCCATCTCTGTGGCCTCAGGGGTGTCCAACTGCCCCAAGGCTCACTCTTGTTTGCCCTCAATGGCTACGAAGAGCGACACCTGGTAGATTGGACGTGCTCTGAAAGACCAGATAGATCCCCAGGCATTTGGTGGGCACTCACATGCCCTTGCCCACCTCACCAGCCCCAGAAGAGCCTCCTGGAAGCGCCCCTCGGTCACCAGCAGGAGGCAAACCCTTTCACCGAGCTGCCGCCACCCTCCTCTTGTGTGGCAACAAGGCGGACCTGTTTCCTGAAACGCTGAGAAAGTACTTGGAGGCATAAACAGTATAAAAGCGACCCACAGTCAGACCCTGGGCTTGTCACCTTAAGACCACTCTCACAACTCAAGGAAGGACAGTTAACTGTCCCTTGCAGGGACATGGCAGGTCACCATTAGGACACACCCGACACCGTCATCCCTGGCGTGAGCATGACAGGCTTCTCTGAGCGCAAGGCAGCCTATGAGATACACAGCTGAGCTGCCAGTTCTCATGCGGGGGCCAAATAGCAGCATAAAGCCAGCTGCTCCCCTGGTCTGTCCTCAGCCGGGACGCTCTTTCTGTGTCAACCTGCCAGGGACTAGCAGAACACTGCTGGCTGCGCCATGACCACGTGCTCCTGGAAAGCCCATCCTCTCAAAGGGACTCTTGTGCTCACAGAGCAGGGAGCAGAGAACAGAGCAACGCTACCAAGCTCTGTATAAATTCAAGAGCTTGCGCTGCAGACAACATCTGGCCTTTATTTCTGCTACACTTGCCCGTCCCCTCCACACTCCTTTGCCACTGCACCTTTTTAAGATGTGCCCACCCTCCCTCCCCTGTTGGTGTGAAGATGTGGCTCCTTCCCCCAGACTGGACTCTTGGCAGCTTGTCATCTTGGAGCCAGAGCCCCATGTGGCTCCTATGTGCCCAACTCCTCTGGACCACAGCACCGGGGGGGGCCGTGGGCACAGAAGACCCCCTCATCACCTCGGGTTATGGCGCCAGGTTTCAGCAGCACGCAGGGAGGGCCTCTGCCTTAAGCAGGAGCGGACTGGGAGACGGGGCTGTGGAGGGCTGAGCACGCAGAGGAGCCAACGGGCATGTGCAGGGCCAGGTCCATGCTGAGCCGTGCTGAGTGCACACTGCAGTGAGTACCTGCTGGTGCTCCATGTTCTAGTATTTCCTTGTGAATTACTCCTGATTGGGATTTTGAGTGCGTGTCGTAGGCGTTAAGCGAGCGTTGCAGAAGCTCCCGTGCCGGCTACCCTCAGATGGCTGTGGCTGGGGCCGAGCTCAGGGAGCACACACGTGTTGAGCTGCTCAGGCTCCAGGAGGAGGTCAGGAGCCACAGGATGGACAACAGATGGACAACCCTGCAGGACTGCAAGTGAGCGGCTCCTCGGCATACACATCTGCCACCAGGGTTGGACACCTTCCAGTGCTGTTCTGCAAATCACCCTGTGCCCCTCTCTGACCTTGGGTGGCACTGCTGAGAGGCAGCGCCGGCCCAGCACGCGCCGCGGCTAGGTGGCACAGCTCCCCCGAGAGCAGGGAGCACCAGCTAGCTCCCCAGGCCAGCTTTCAGAGACCTTCAACCGGTGCTTTCTGAGCGTTTGGGGCCCCTGCACCGCTCCAAAGAAAAGCTGTGGACAGGCTGCCCTGGAAACCGCATCTCCTCCCAGAATTTCATACAGAATTCAGAGGGTCCTTCAGGAGACTAGAGAAAGGATGTCAGGTAATTCAAACCTCTGCCCCGGACCCGGCTACTGAGGGCTCTTTCCTGGGCCTCACGTCACCTCTCCCGTGAACATATTACAAATAAAATCACTTTTCTATACCTGACAGCAGCCCAGGATCGTAAAGCAAATAATGACTCAAAGGTCTTCTGTGTAAGGCTGGTCTGGGGACCCTGGATTTACTCAGCGTGAGTAAGAATCAAGAAAACTCTGTCTCGATGCCACAGAGAGGCCAAGGGTGGCCACGGAAGCTTGGTGACACAGGAAGAACTATACCTCCTTTACTCACCTGGTCCCCTTCTTATTGGGCACCGAGTATGGGCGGAGAAAATCCAGCTTGCTCTTGCTGATGACACACAGGTCAATGTTACTTCCAGACCCCAAGTCATTGAAGATGCCGGCTGCAATGGCCTCTTTCACCAGGTTCTTGGCTTCCTCCTCCTGAGAAAGAGAATGGCAACCATGATGCCCAGCAGTGAGCACACTCACCTGTGAGGGAGGCACTGTTTTCAACCCTGGAGATCAATGAGGTGACAGATGTCACGGCCAGATCACCCTCACATCCAGGAGGCACTGTTTTCAATGACCATTTAATAGATCAAAGTACCTCAATGATATGCCCACGGCTCCCCATCTGGTAAGTGCGGGACCCAGTCCTTTCAAACCCTTTACGCATGTACCCCCTCTTCAGCACACTGCTTCCAGTCCATCACCACAAACTTGAGGACTACGGGCTGATGGGAGAGCAGTTATTCAGAGGGCAATGAACTTTTCTTGTAAAAGGCACCAGGGAGTAAATATTTTTAGGCTTTGTGAATATATAGTCTCTGTTATAACTACTCAACTCAGTCATAATAGCACAAAACAGACACAGACAATATGTAAACAAATGTGTGTGGCTATGTGCCAATAAAACTTTATTAGCAAAAACAAGTGATGGGCCGGATTTGGCCCATGGTCTGTAGTTTGCTAACCCTGATTGAAAATATCTAACAGTGGTTGGAACCTGCCTCCTGGTAACATGAAGAAAGTCAACATCATAGGGAAAAATAACTAACATCAAAATACAACAACAGTTCTGGAAAAATGGGGGCAGAGTCAGGGGTGAGGCCTCTTGCCCAAGAGAACCTATCCCCTCCCCTACTAACGAGCATATACGTTCACTGAAATAATTCATTTCTTGGAAGCAATCTTTCTTCTTCTTCTTTATGAAGCAAATCTTAGTCCCCAACAGTTACTTGTAAAAAGTGGATTAATTCATTTCTTAATCAAGGAGGCCGACCACATGCTGGGTCCTGTGCTGGGAGCTAGGACTGCAGAGATGGATGAAGGCCCCAAGGTCCCTGCCCTGTAGGGACTTGAAGTCGAATGGGGACATCAGACCCAAGGAACCACAATGCAGTGTGATAAGGGCTAGCGAACAACTGAAAAAGAGCGGTGGGAACCCTGGCTGGGCCAGCAAAACTGCAGAGGGGACTGAAGGACAGGCCACACACCAGACCAGGCACTCAAAAATCAGGAGAGCGAAACAGAAGTCAGGCAGCGGGGGAAGCAAGGTAGGACCCCGGAACAGCAAGCTCAAGCTCTTTATGCAATAGACAAAAAGGAACCAATCTGCCAAAGAAGGGACTCTAACTTGTGCTGCAGCCCCTCCCTATCCCGCCAGGACAGGAGCGTCCATAATAAACATGCAAGCTAAAACAAAGAGCTCATCCAAGTAGCATCCTGTGAGAAATAAGACTCCCCATCCCATATTCCAGCCTGCAATCACCAATGGGCAGATCTCTGACT